TAATAATAATTCAGTCTTTTTTCCCTTCCAATCTTCTAAGGAAAGAAAAGAAATCACGGAGTCGTAATCAAGACATGGTTTCTTTTACAAAATCTTCTCCGACTAACAATATCGTCTGCTTTCTTCCAATTTTTTTACCACTAAAAAATTAGTTAAAAAAAACAGCCAATCAGCAACAAAACAAACAGTTTAAAAAATAACCAATATTTTTTTTTAGAGAGTCTTTCTAAAATAAATCAATTAAAAATAATTTTTCCTTACTTTTTTTTAATTAGCACATAATAATAATAAAAAAAAATAACAAGCTTAAAAAAAAGCTGTCCTTTCGAGTAAGCTCAGATAGCTCGCTCATGCATTGCAGAGGGATCTTGATTGGATCTTTGGCTTGTTCAGGAGTTTAAAAGTCCCTAAATATTTTGCATATTCACAGCATTGTAAGCTCTCCTGGCTGCCGTTTGATCTGTCTTTTTTTTATTTGCACGGAACTGTCTTTTTTTTTCGCTGCAGCCTTGACTCTTTTGATTGCAATCTGGTCATCTGTTGGCGGAGATTTCTTTTCGCGATGCATAATGCTGCTGTATGCGATAGACAACAATAAACTAAAGAACTCAAAATTGATCGCTGCATTGGAGTAATGAATTAATAAGCTTACGTTTTAAAAGTTCAGTAATAATTCTTCTGCCGCCACTTAATTTAAAAACAATTTGATATCCTTACTTTCCGTACAAACAGTTATTTTTATTTCGTGGGTGACTTTCGCTGGATTTCGTAATTAATTTCGATTATTCTCAAATTAATTTCCAAGTTATAAAAATTGTTATCGTACAAAAAATCCGTTGCAAAAAAAAAAAAAAAAAAAAAAAAAAAAAAAACGCCAAAAACAATCGCAATAATGAAAATTGTGAATCCAAAATTTATGAGCCATTGAGAGTTAGAGTTGTGTCCCTTAAATTGAAAAAGCGTGACACACTGACATTCGCATTTATTATATAGTTAGTTTCAAATGGAAGGGAGATAACTTTCTGCACCAGTCGGAACCCTGGATTTGATTGCTCAACTCATGCAACAAATGATAGAGCTACAAAGAGAAACTATCACGCTTTGGCAGAACAGAACCCAAAACGCAATGCAAACGTCTAACACACACACACACACACACACACACACACACACACACACACAAAAAAAAAAAACAGATGGTTCTGTCATTGAAATCAACGCAACGGACAACGATTTAGCATTATTCCTTGACGCTTGGATTCGGTATGTGTAAACCTGTGTAGTGTAAATCTAAAATTGAAATTGGAACCACGAAAAGATCAATAAGGTTCGATACAGAGCGTGATTCGTTCACTTTCTCAAAAACTAGTCTGAAAGTTTTCGCGCCATCCGCTATACTGGCAGATCAAAATTGGATCGTAAAACCGGTTTGACATCGCTCGGTGCTGTGGCTCATCTTGCGTGGAATGGAAAGTGATTTGAAGGATGTGTCCCAGATCCACCGCCTTCACTGACAACAGAAGGGACTATAATGCATCAAGCCCACGCTTCACTTGGACACACCCAGTCTGGTCCAGTTAGTCACGGTAGTCATCGCATCCTTGCGTTCGCCGATACAGTGATTCAAACTTGTTCAAGCTGGCCAGAAATATTAAAACTACTCAGGTGCCTGGATGAGTATCTCGTGCCAACTAGTCAGCAAATACGTAACATTACAGACAACCAACTTCATATAAAGGGCGTGTTGTTCATGCATATAAGAATTGGGTTGAGGAAGCACGTGCCAAACAATTATTTTTACTTATCAGAATCTGCCCTGATGGACATGTCATCTGATTTTCTAGTCCAGCCATCACGGCTTAACTTGTTGAAGGGCGCAAAGGAAACTGCCCTGTGCACATGCCCACACAGAAATCCCATTCCAGCGATGTCTACTACCATTCCGTTTCTTCTGATGGAAAACAACAAGCCCCTACTGGAACGATACATGACCATTTCAAGCCCAGCACATTTAATATATGCCCTCACCAACCCTTACAGACCATAACAGGAGAGCCATTGGGCATTATTTTCGTCCTTGATCAGTGGTTCACACACCGATCCTTGTTCCTCGTCATTAGAAGAAGAGAGTAAGACCTCGATCAAGACATCGCATTGGGTATAATTGAAACGGTGCTTGTGGTCACTTCTATAACCTGGTGCTCAAGGATGGTTGTAATACACCAAAAAGATGGCTCCGTCACACGTACGGTGGGTGGACTTACAAGAACTGAACGCTGCCTCCATGATGGGAACTCATCTAACCCATCCCCATTTAATCAGGTCACCATCGTGCCGGCTAAGATAAGGAAAACAGTTCTGGACGCATGGAACGGGTACCATGGCTTACCGCTTTCCCCAGATGCCACTACATTTATCACTGAATGGGGCCGGTACAGATATATTCAGGCTGCCCAGGGATTCCGCGCATCTGGAGATGAATATACCCGTCGGTTCGATGATATTCAGTAGACATGGTTTGAAAACCCCGTTGCATAGACGATAGCCTCCTTTGGGACGATTCTACAGAGTCCTCATTCTGTCACACAATGGAATATATAACCCACTGTGGGAAGAATGGGATTGTGTTAAACTCTAACAAATTCCATTTTGCAGAGAATGAGGTAGAGTTTACCGGGTTTAATAACGGCCAATAGTGCGAAATCAACGAAGCAAATGACTGAGGCCATCCTTCACTTTCCTACGCCCACAAGTATCACAGGCGTCAGCTCCTGATTTGGAGAGGTGAATAAGGTATCGTGCATTCTTGCTAGCTGAGGTGATAGCTCCCTTCTGGGAATTATTGCGCTAGAAGAACTGAAAATTTTATTGGGACGAAACGCTTGACCAACTTTTTGTTGTCGAAGCGAGTAATCGTACGAAAAATTGAGGACAGGATCAAGACATTCGAGAACAATAAACCGACGTGACGTTCAACAAATTACATAAAACAGGAAACGGTTACTTTCTTTTTAAGAACACTGTAATTGCCCTGGCGAAGCAAATCCAAATTGCGGTGATAGTAACTGGAAAATTATTTTGGCCGGATCTCGCTTTACTAACGACGTAGAATCCCGCTCTTCATCGGTCGAAAGTGAAGTCCTGGCTCTTGTCTAGAGGCTAGAATCATGCCAGGTGTTTCTATTGGGATGCCCAGATTTGATAGGGACTATTGACAATCAACCCCTCATAAAAAACTTTCTTAGATCGAACCCTCGAGAACATAAAGAACCCATGTCTCTTTCATTTCAAGGAACGCATACTAATCTACAATTTCAGCTTTAAATATCTCCCGGGAAAACTTAATGCTGCACTCAACTGTGCCTCTCAGTACCCAGTATGGATCCCATCAGAGGACTTGACAGAACGTCCCCAAATATCATCTGAACGTATACAACAGTCATTCTACAACTGATACAGTGGAACCAATTGACAGTGCAATCAAGGCTGCATTTATGTCCACATACGAGCATGATCCCAGATTAATGGCTATCACATGGGATAGGACCGTTGCCGCGGCAGCCATTGATGAAGAATGTCGGACTCGAACAGAATATGTATGGATTGGTTTCTCCAAATCACGCCATGACCTCCCGTCGGTGATCTCTCGGTTTGGGTCCATGGGTAAAGAATCTTACTGCGTCAAAGGAGTACCGATCAAGGAGAATAAAATCCTTCTACCTCGACAACTTCGTGAGGAAGTACTTGAATCCCTACATTTTGCACACCAGGATGTAAATGGCATGATAGCAAATTTTGACCTGTTTTGGATGTCAGCGTCCAGCAGACCAGAACCTAATGCCAGATATGTAACTATCGTCCTGTCACAGCCTAAGGAGCCCTTGATGTCGCCGTCTAACTCTGAATTCCAATTCCAAGAAATCGTGATTAACTTTTTCGACCAACACGGTAGAACTTATGTTATAGTCACAAATCGGTACACTGGTTGGGTGGGAGTGGCCCTTATGTAATCTGGGAATGCCAGGGCAGTATATGATACCTTGAGAACTTGGTTTTGTACATATGGTGCACCTGAAGAACTTTTTCCGACGGGGTCCACCTTTTAATTCTCAAGAATGCGACTCGTTCATTAAGAATTGGGGAATACGCAAACGTATTTCGTCCAGGGAAAAATGGCCGTCAAAACGGCTAAGCGTATACTCACAGACAACACAAACAGCTGTGGTCGGCTGTGTCATAATCGTGCAGCCCATGTTTTGCTGATCACATCCAGGATTTTGGCATGTCTCCGTCATGATATACAGTCGTGTTATAAAAAAAACACCTTCCTGTCCTACAGAACAGATACCAGCTACGTATACAATGGAGAGAAATTGGTGATGACATATCGCTGGACATGGACCCAAGAATAAGAAAAATCTATTCCTGTAGGTTAGATAAAAGGTTCAGTTTGAAATTCCCTGGAAGTTACCTGAATCAGCAATAATGGGGGGGCATAACAGATGAAACATTGTGATAGCAACAACAAAGATGTGGATGATAGTCTGTGTGTAAATGATGACAACTACTCATTCCAGAAATTTAGACAGAAATTTACTCAGAATTATCTAAAGTATCAGCTATATGCAACTGTTTCTTAGATTAATTATTAAAAATGGCCTCAAGTGAATGAAACCTTTATGTCTTAAAGAAGGCAAACACTCATCAGGCCCGACAGACTGCCACTAGAAAATCATAAAGAACTTTACCAAATAATAAAAACACATCACTTGAACATTTCTAACAGCAGCAACAACAAAAACGAGTAACATGAAACTAGAGGAGAAAATAATGATATAATCAACCTGTTAGCTTTCTACACAACTAAAAACAAAAAGTTTGAAAGGGAATTTCTATCAGTATGAAAGCATTTTGAAGACTTAAGAAGTGTAAAAAAATGTTTTAATATAAAGGTTTTATAAATTTAAACAGGCATTAACACTAACTGTTCAGTCAACACGTTGAAAGACCAGTTCTTGTATGATCATCAAAGTTAAGCAACGTCAAACCTGGTCAGTACCGAGATGGGTGACCGCTTGGGAATACCAGGTGCTGTAAGCTTCGATGTGCAGGTGGTATAATGGATAATGGCTCGAGATTGTGAATCGGAGAGCCGATTTGGTTTCATTATATTTACTTATATGCAAATACCCATGGGAAAGGAATGAATCTACCTCTTTAAGTAAGACTTGCATCATTAAACCATTATTATCACCCACCTAAAAAAATTACAATCTACTTTCCAAAGTTGGAGAATTATCCACCTTCTTGAGAGTAGTCATAGGTATTGCTTCTTCCTTAACTCCAACCTATTTCACTTCATATCTCGCACCTCCACTCTACACTGGCGGTGCTAAGTTCTGTCTCTTCCACCTACTTTCTCGGTATTCTACCTCAGCCCATCTTTCAAGCCAGCTCAACTGACTTTGTGACAAATCTAATTTTTAAAGGAGGTTTTGTAGAGTTTTGTTCCAGTCATCAATTTCAATTCTATGACTCCTTTCTATTTTCCTAGAATTATCTTTGTCCAGCGAGAACACCAGACCACTGCGCTCTCATTTAACCTTCCAAACGAGAGAAAATTATTTTCTAACTTGTTTTCGCCAACTAAGATATATTTGTTTACCTAAGTTCTCAAACAAGAGAAAAAACTGTTCTCTATCTGCGGGCCGATCGCTGTCTTAGCAAAAACACAAACCAGACCACCTGCCTGTTGCGACAAGATCGATTTTCATAACTCTGACATTCACAGGGTGTTCATTCCCGGTTTTCATTTTCAATTCGTTTTCGTCAACGAATATATAATTCCAACCTGTCTCTCATCTCGTTAATGATATGTGTTTTTCTAATTTCTCAAGAAAGAGTTAAAGCCATTTCCCAATTTTTTACCCACATCCCAGATTTTCGATAGATAAAAAAGAGTAAACTATGTGCATCGTTCCACTTCATAGGGTTGGGGGGGGGAGACAATCCAAATGGCTCTTTTTCTCTCTTCCACATTACCAGGAAAAATGTCTTCCATTATCTCTCTATATATTTCATTTCGGGCTTAACCCCTTCTCTGCTCAGAATCAACATTTAACCACGTCATGGCCTCAATGTCACATCTATAAGTCTTCCATGCTTAGAATATTGCTGCCATATATGGCTTGTGCTCATGTTATATATTTAGAGATCTTTGATAAAATCCAAAGAAGAATCAGCAATACTATTGGTCCAGATCTAGCGTCTCGGCTTCAGTCACTTTCCCGCCGCTGTAAAGTTGCCTCCATGACAACTGTTCGGATGAGCTCTTTGCTATGGTACCTAGACTTTATGAATGTAAGTGCAGTACTAGACTGGCGATGAGGTCTCAATATACAGTTGAGTTTGCTACATGTAACCGTACGTTCTATGCCAAGTTTCTTTTCTTGCACTTCTTGCTTATTGAACTCTTTTGGCTTCATGCTTTCCAACCAACTTAATCTTCAAAAGTTTAAATGCAATGTCAATCACTTTCTGCTCTCCTCCTGTTTACTCTTCTTTTGTTCTTGCTTCTTAGCAAAGTTTCTGTTTTCTAATTCTTCCATACCCTTTTGTGCCTTAGTGGTTTTGCTGATTTGCTTGGGATGAAATCGATTTAATAAAAAAGTGTTAGGGTTTTACTGATTTGGTGAACATTTGTAATGAAATTGGGGTGTTGACTAAATGATAACAGGATACTTGAATGTTTCATACATAACATTACATTTTATTCAGCTCTTGCCTTTGTCAGTTACACTTGGCCAGAGAGTGTGTGTGTGTTTACCTTGTCCTCCCTGATTTGAAGCATGGCCCTTATATTTTCATGTGATATATGAGAAACTGCCAAACTCTTGTCTAAAGCCACTTTTTATGTATTAATAAAGACAAAAAAAAAATTTAATTTAAAAATGTAAAATCTGTTTCAACATCAGTTTTTCCATTCTCCCCCTCTCCTTCTTACACATATATCCTATCACTAAAAGCATTTAGTCTGATGAAGTCCTTCTAGAGGACAAAATGTGTTACACAGAACTTTTTTCCACTTTGTCATTAGTTTACCTAATATCCATCTGTCCAACAGTTTTTTTTCTGCAGGCTAAGCCTTGCCCACCAGTGTTTACATCTTGAGGGTCACTTCTTATGATGACTGAATCATGGATATCCATCCCCAGCTTGGGACATCTCAAGTCAACCTTCTACCTGGTTTCTTTATTCTGGTGTGAAAGTGAATGAAAAGCCTCTTCCAGCATAATAGTACACAATAATGGCTTGATAACATTATCTGAGATTATAAAACCATTTCTTTCTTTTGAGATAGCTGTCGTTTAATGACTGAAGAATAGATTACCTAAAATATTCCGGTATACAAGTCCAAACATTTTAGTAATGAATATCAAAAAAGAAAATTAGTGTAAGCATGGAACTACATAGCAAGAAAAAAAATCTTGTATAAAACAGACAACTAGCTAAGTAGAAAAAATATTTTTAAAAAGTTTCACTGCTGCATTGTTATAACATTGTTGCCAGGCTGTGCTGACTCATTTCTGGAAAAATAGGAAATTGTTGTTTTCTGAAGGTAAATGACTAGAAAAACTTTGATGGTGATTTCTCCTGGATACTACCATTTTGCTTTTGATTGGATACTCAACCATAGAGAATAAGCTAAAACCCCTCATAATATGGTAAAATACATCACAAAATAATATGCTACTATATGGTTTGAAAAAAGCACTAGGTGCTACTATATGGTTTGAAAACAGCACTAGGTGCACAAGCACTAGAGGTTGACATTTCAGTGTCTTCCATGTATGTGCGTGTGTGTATATATATATATATATATATATATATATATATATATACACACACACATAACAGCATTAAGTTTCATAAACATGTATAATTACACCTACAGCAGCAAGAGTTTTAATAATATGAGTTTAGGTTCAGCTTGTGGATTTAACATTTCAACCCATACTTGGTGATTCAATGTCACACCCTCATTATTATTATTACTATTTTTTGAAGTACAGAACTAAATATGTCTTATATGAATAGTTTAAATGAAGTCTTTGTACACTGATTACCATCAAGAAAATTTACAAAGGATATACTGGACTCTCCAATGTATGAGGGTGAAGCAGCTCAATCCTTAGAACCAAACAGCCAGACTGCACATAACATTTGATTATAGTGGTGAAGGCTTGTGCAGACGCAAACACAATTTTTGGAAGAGATGAATGCAGAGTGTCATGTATTAATGTTGCTTTATGAATGTGTGTAATTTTCAGCAGTTAGTGAATAAGAGCTGTGTTATGACAACTATTAACATATTGTTTACATATCTCTGTTCATGTGTTTCAAGTGTGCTTAATTTACTTTAAAATTTGTGGGGTTATTATAAGAAAGTTACTTTATGCAATATGTGAAATATAGAGTAATCAATTATACAAAAGGTTTGAGTAATCAGCTGTGTACTACCCTGGTTATAGGTTAGCCAGAAAAAAAACTGAAAAATAATTTTGTGAATTTATGTGATCATATTTATAACAGAAATAGGCACCATGGATTTACTAAATTCAGAAGTCATATTTTTCATGATTTTTAAATATCTATTTTTTTAGGAAGGAAAATTGTTATCAATCTCTCAATTTTCTATAGCAGACACAGTTGTTTGAAATTTTGAAAGTCTAAAAGTGCTTGACAATGTCGCTGATTGTTTAATAAATGTGAATGTGGAAATTTAAATCTGGAGAGTACTTTGTAAACAAATACAGTGTGTGATATAAAGAGAGTTGTCGGGAACGGAGGAGAAGTCTTTCATATTTGGTTTGGTCTATTTTATGTACATTAACACAGGCTCTAATTTGGGACCAGAGAAAATCTCTCTTATATCCGGGTTTCTCTTATATCAGGGTTACACTGTATAACTTTTAGTGATAGTACTTAAATCTATTGAATTTTTATACAATTTCTAATGGGGTTCCACAGATTTAAGCGTAAGGTTTGATATAACAGTCATTAGAATTCCAATGAAAATCAAATCTTCAACAGTTATTTCAAAACCTGCTGGATTGATGGATTTTTTACGGCTTAGCAAACTTTTGCAGGTTATTTAAAGCCAGAAATTAGATTGTACGAATTCTTTGGAGATAATAATAATTTACTTACTAGTAAGACCATAGCTGGTGGGAGGGGGGGGGGGCGGAGAAAAAGTGGTAGATTCATACCTTTCCCCAAGGTTTATTTGCATGTAAATGAATGCAACAAACTTGACTGGAATTGGAACTTGGCCCAGATTTGAAATTACTGACAAATCTATTAAGTCTGACTTTTACTGTAGAAATAGATACTTTTTTTTTTTTTCAATTGTAGAAAAAAATTTTTAAATCAAGAACAAAGGTATTGTTCATGGGCAGGAAATAATTCAATAATAATTGAGAGAATGAAATTATTATAAGCATAATATACTGCACTATTAACAGTTTTACTATGAAAATGCATTGAAAATGAGGAAGGGATTGTCAGTGGTCAGGAATTAATACAACCATTACTGATAGAATAGAGCCACAATATATAGAATGTAAAAAAAAGAAAAAAAAATTTTTTTATAATACCTGAATCTATAGTGAACATTTGTTTTCATTATATTCATTCAAACTAATAAATCTAAAATTATAAATACACAATGTTAATTTCAATAAAAATAAATTAAAATCATGACTGTAACAAATTATTATTTGTAAAGAATTTCTTTATTAATTCAACATTAGTTATAGAAAGAAAGAAAAAAGTACATTTATCCAAAGATTAATGAATAGCAAAGAATATTGCAACATAACTTACATTACCTTTCTATCTTCAGCAGGCAGAGAAAAAAAAAAAAACACCCAAGCTTTTTCAATTCATTATGAATTTCATAGTCCTGATTACTTTGTTATAATGAATGAAAGACATTTCTATGTAAAATTTAATTCTAGTACAATTTTGGTTTCATAATTTTAGACATCTCTCTTTAAGAATAGCCTTCTTACACTCACAGTCCAAAAACCTATCAGCAAAGGAGTTAAGTTTCAGTTGTTTCTTCAAAGAAAATCAATGGAAAGAATCTAGTAAAATACAGTGTGTGGTAGAAATACCACTCAGACATGAGATAGATTAAGACAACCTTTGCCACTCGTGTCTTACTATTATGTGGGAGGTACTTCTGCCACACTGTAGTTGAGGAGAAGGGAAGTGGGAGAAGGGAGAAAGGAGCAATGGAAAGAAGGGAAGGAGGGTGAGAGAGAGAGAGAGAGTTCTCTTTCTACCATAAAGCTTCAGAAAAAAAAAATTCATTGTTCAGTCTTTAACTGATTTTATCATAAAGCATTTCCACTGATTTGTAAATGATCTATGATTAACAAATAAGCCATTTCACTTGTCCAGAAAGTCATTTACAGACAATAGATAACAGCCAAGATTGTTGAGCAACATGAGCAACTGAAGATTGCTTAAGCCATTGAAAGATTATTGCTGCTGTTGGAATTTCATCAATTAACCTTTGACTAGTTGAACTTTTATCTTTGTGGTTTCCTAGAACTTAAGCAAGCAGCAATAGCTGGAAATAAAAAGTGTGGCTTAATTTTGACTCTTTTTTTCAACTTAGAGTATGCAATATTATCCAAGTATATCCACAATACTTGGATAATATTACAAAGATAAAAGTTAAGCTAGTCAAAAATTAACAATTGTTGTTTCGTAGTTGATATTGATTAGCTAAATTGACAGTAGTATTATAGGCAGCAACTACATTGGAATGACTGGTAATTTTTGAACTGGTGTTGAATTGCCTGAAGGGGTAGCTACTTCAGAAGCTGCTGGGCTTTTCTCTTTAAGGACAGGACACTAGAAGACAGAAGAGATAAATATGCTTAACAAGATAATAAATATGAGGACTGACAAAAAAAAAAAAAAAATTATTGAATGATAATTTTTTTTTTTTTAACAGAAAATAAACAAATCTGAAATATAACAAAAAAAATAGTCAACCTTCACAAAATGCCTCAGTCAAATTAGATTATTTAAAATGATATGGTATGAAGGGAAAAAACATGAAATGATCTACTTAACTGAATTTCTAAAGCATGCCCTTCCAAATCTAAATATGCAAATTCACCTGCAGTTAAAAGAAAATACATATGCAAATCTTAAGATGTTGGATTGGCTAACTGAAAAAAAATGTGTCTTGGACGACAAACATTGCCAATGGAGTCAAAATTGTATGCAATAATAATAGTTTCAAAGGAATAACTGTCCTTTTGAAAAACTGTTTTTTGGGGATTTTTGTGGGTACAAAGGTTAAACATGTCCCAAAAGTTTTCCCTTTGTCTTTTCTTGTATTTATATTGTCTTCTATATTTATAAAGAAGTGGATGGATTTTTTATTTATTAATGTGATAGATTTTTATTACTTGAACTTTATTTTTAGTGGATACACATATTTGAGTAGACACTGCATTTATTTATTAAACATTATACTCATTTTTGTCTACTGGCCAGGATTTTTGAAAAATCTTATATTCAAAAATATGTGCTCTCCAGCAAGATTTGATCCTGCATTCCCCTATGGGAAACCATCATTTCATCTGAAGTGCTTTGGACATTTCAGATATGAAATTTTGAGTCAGAGAAAGATCTGTGTTTAAAGGCGCTATTCAACTTTGCTTGATCACATGATGCACTCCATGGCTGAGAGATCTAAAGTACATCAGATCTAATGACAGTTTCCCATATGTGAACACGGGTTCAAATCTTGCTGGAGAGTGTATATTTTTCTCTAAGAATTTTAGAACATTCAAGCCAGTAGATTAAAAAAATAAATATATTGTTTAATGAATAAATGGAGCATCTACTCAAATATGAGTATCCATTAAAAATAATGCATGTGTAATAATAATAAAGTAATAATTTTTTATATATATATATTAGTTAAATATAACAGGACATTGAATGCTTATTGTGTTTGATCATGATCCGTTATAAGCTTCATATAGATAAATAAAGAAAAAACTGTTCAATATTTGGATATTTTTTTTGTTATGCTGTTCCTTGATCTAAGCCATCACCAACGTGGTCATATGAATATTAAAACATTATCAAAGATGACATCCTGTTATGTTTACATAGAAGTTTGTTATGCGAGAATAGCAGACGCAGGTTGTAAATTCATAATGTGGTTCTATGACGTTGTACATGACCATGTGAGAGAAAGAAATTTTACCAACAGAACCATGTGTTTAGATGCAATGTAATATATGTTGTGACTGGTTTGAAATGTAACTTTGAGTCTGCTGTTGTTGAACAAACCTAAAATGTACATGATTAGATATATAAAAATTCACATGCTCTGTAGAGTTTGCTATGAAAGAGCTAGAAAAACTTCTTTTCTTAAAAAAAAAAAATAAATAAATAAAATAAAAAGTTGCCCATCCCTTAATTATTTTGTTAGTGAATGTAACTTTCATTATTACACTTTTTATTTCAGTGGATAGACTGAAACTATTTGAGAAAGTATAAGAATTTATATAATACATATTTTCTGCCTTTACCATTATTTACACTATTTAGATGTGGACTATTATCCACATCTTTGTTGTTGAGCAGTGCTAAAAATAAGAACTAGATATCACTAAGCACAGGCAGTAAAACAAGAACAGTCTACATCTGTAGATTAAATGGCAAACATGGACCTTTGTGCCTGCAATAAGATGGAGTGCCAAAAGGACAGTTTTTCCCATGACACTGCTATTAGTTTAACTACCTTCACTCTTCAGCAATGTTTGTTGTTTTTAGAACTGCTATATCCCAGGCTGCTGGGATGAACAAAGATGAATGAAAATAAAAGACATGTGTATTTTAACACATAAACAACTTTTATTCATTCACTGTCTGAGAATGACAAGGATTGTAACAAAGAATTCCAATTGCATGTCAGTTGGTCACCATGTTCAACTGAAAAGTGGTATCTTTGTCTTGACAGACAAGAGAAGTAACTCAACTGTATTTTGAGTTATTGTCCTTTTTAAGGGAAGGAATTTAGCTTCCCCTAACATACAAATAAAGATAAAAGTGAATTTATACATTTTTTTTGTTCTTGAGAATTTACAACATTCTAAAAACTAATACAATTAGAACTAATGTAATATTTATCATTGACCATTATAAAGAAATAAATGTGATTACAATTTTTTTATTCATAAAATTTATAAACATTTATTAAATTATTAAAATATGTGTACCAACTATAAGTAAATCTTTATTTACTATTTTATAATGTTGTCTGAATTTCTGGGATGAGAAGTTACCATTATTTACACATTCAGATATGGACTATTGTCCTCATCTTTGTCATTGCACAGTGCTAAAAATTAGAACTAGATGAGATATCACTAGACATGTACAGTGGAAAGAGAACAGTCTACACCTGTAGATTTTAAATGGCAAACATGGACCTTTGTGTCTGCAATAAGATGGAGTGCCAAAAGGACAGTTTTTATCATGACTGCTACTATTTTAACTACCTCCACTCTTCAGCAATGTTTATTGTTTTAAAAACAGATGATTAGAATTGGAATAAAACCTAAACATACAATGAAAGTGAATTTATACATATTTTTTTGTTCTGGAGAATTTACAACAAAAATAATAAACACTATTTCATATTAGTGTTTATTTATATTATTTATTGGAATGATTGACAAAACATTGGCTAATTGCCAATTGATTCAAACTTTATAAAATTATAAAAAATAAAAATTTCCTAATAATTGAGTCACATATTTTAACAATTTAGTAATTTTCATATTGACTTCTTTATAAACTGGTAAATAATATATTGCATTTCATTAGTTCTAAATGTCTTAGTTTTTCAAATATTGTAAATATAAAATTATTCTTGTAAAGAAACAATCTAATAGTGCTTAATATTTTTATTGTAAATTCTCAAGAACAAAAAAAATGTATAAATTCATATTCATTATATGTTTAGGTTTTATTCCAATCCCTTTTTAAAACTGGTAATTTTCAATGTGTCCTGTGAATGTCAAATTCTCTGAGCTCTCTTTCCTCATTGTGCCCTAGAAATTTAAACTGCCTCTATGATTCCAAGTGTAAAATGTCCTTTTTAGTTTTTCTTAAAACTTTTTCATTGTGCACATGCTCCATCCCCTCAACATTTTTCTGTAGAACATCTGTTGTCTCAAGTCACTTCTTCATCTGGAAGGAAAGTGTCATATCAGAAGATTGATATTACAAAGTAGTTCAGTACTCTTTTCTTTGTTTCTAACAAAGTTTTTCTATCTCTTAATACTTTGTTTAGTTTTGGGAAGTCACCTTTTGCTCTTTTAATGTGCATTCAGATTAAACATTGTTTTTTTTTTGTTTTTTTATGTTTATAGCTTAACCTTTTTGTGGGTTATTTAAAGTTGAAAATTTTTTTTGCAAACAAATATTGCATTATTAATTTTTTTGAGAACAAAGATATTCCAGATACAAGTCCTATTTAGCTCATAGGCTGGAGAAGAGATGGATTCATAACTTTCTCGGGTATTTGCTCATAAATGAATATAATGAAGCTGACTGGAATTTGAACTTGGCTCCCTGATTTCTCATTCCAAGCCACTATCAATTACATCACCCACACATCCACAATTTGTTTTTTATGGTTTATCAACTTTTAGCAGGTTATTTAAAACCAGAAAATATTTTTAAATTGTAAGAGTTTTTTTTGCAGATAAAATTCATTTGATAGAAATTTTTATTATCAACCCATAACTTGGGGGTAAAAAAGGTGGATTCATACCATTACCAAGGGTATTTGCACTTAAGCAAATATAACGAACCTGACTAAAATTAGAACTTTGCTCTCTCATTTCTAATTACAAACCATTATCTATAACACCAGCTGCACACCCAAGCTTAGTACTTGGTATTGCAAAACAGTCACCCATCTAGGTACTGACCAAACTCAATATTGCTTAACTTTGGTGATTGTATGAGAACTGGTGTTTCAATGTGATATGGCTGTAAGTCTCCACTAGTGTAAAGGAACAATATAGTGCAGTAATGGATACCATAAAAATAAAATACAGCTAAATGGTTAATTTAAATTATGCTTACTGGTTGAGCTTTTGTAGCCTAATTGGTAAGACCTACAGTAAAGCTTCCAAGGATAAGAAATCCTACTTTTCTTTTGCTCATGCTAATGTCATAAATTGTGGTGCGGAACAGCAAAATTTTAATAACATCGATCATTCTTGGTCAATGAGATTTTGAAATTTGCTTACAGGATATAAATAGAAATAATGAAATAGACAAAGTGCAGTGCAAGGATCAGCAAATTCATCTTATGGATCATTTTTTTTTTTTTTTTTTTTTGTTATGGACTCATATCAGATTAAGCTAAACTTACTGGAAGACAGATGAAATGCAGTCTTTCTATTCATTATACTCAGTATATTTTTAACATGTGTAGGTAATAAATGTTAGATTAAAAAGAAGGCATGACTTATTTTTAAGAAGATGCTTATAAGATCATAATAATGAAAGTATTAATCCAGAGTGGTGGGATAAAAAGCAACAATAATAAGATAGAATAAAACTAGTAATAAAATATTAATAATGAAGCATGTATTGAGCCAGTGTTCAGATAAAAAGCAACAATGATATTTTACTACTAATTTTACACTAAAATGTTACCCCAAATGACTACAAATAAAATTGGTAAACATCTGGCTGGTTTCGTGAATACTTAAATAAGGTTTAGTTACAGAAAATTCTCAAACATTTAATACTCACAAAAAGTAAATAAATAAAAATTAAAAGAACAGTTCCTTACCATTACTAGAAGATGATATTTTATAAGTGCTGACCGTAATATCATTGCCTGAAAAACAAAATCAGTAAATAAATAAAAGAAAGTCAACACATGCACACATACATGACAAATACAAGTAGACCACCTATTGCATATGGACACACACACACATTTTATAATCCTATTATAATTGTGTCAGTCCCTGCCTTTGTTAGTTTGGATGACCGTTACGTCCTACCAATACCTCATATAACAGACCATTCTATTTTGATCACATGGAAAGTGAGGGAGGGATGAGACACTATCTGGTTTCAGTGAGAATATGAAAGAAAGGAGAGAGAGAGAATAAGATGAAGCTAATAAAAACAGATACTACACTTTGATCTTAGCCAAAAGGCTGAGAAGTCAATATTTATTTAAGTCAGAATTTTGAGTGATCAATCAATAACTAGAGTGAGACTTATTATTGTCAATAAGTAAAATAAAGAATATAATAATAATAATGCAATATTCTTATCTAAGCCTTATAAATGACTACATTGTAAAATGTTTAGCTACTCGCAGATAAGTATAGTGAACATTTTATTCAATGATTATACACACATACATATATATGCATATATAAAATTTATTAAACTTATCCCATTCTTGAAAATCAACATAGGTTTTTGATATTAACAAAATCAAAAATGAAATTAAAGTTTCAGAAATGTTTGCATTTTGAAAGGAATTTGTTTTGTTTTCTAAAACCTTTCAGAATTTTGTAGAGGATGACAATGTTATAAGAAATAATAAAAAGGTAACATTTTTTCAAACTATAGAAAAAAAAAAAAAAACAATTGTGGCATTTCCTTACTTTTGTTCTGCGTTCATATTCTTGTCCCATGGCTATAGATTTCTCAAAAGTTGAACTCCGCTGATCGATATCTTTGGCATATAAAATCTGAAAATATATAGAGAGTCTTTAAAGGTATAAGGTCAAGGTTGAAGATGATTTTAAGAAATATAAAAAAAAAAGAAAAGAAAAAAAAAAGGGAAATGATTTTTTTCTTTTTCAAAGTAACACGAAGATAAGTCCAGAATTAACATTACATTGCAAATAGAAGGAAGAGATCTATATTTCTGAGATGAGGTATTGTAACTATCCACATGGCTCAGTGGATAAAAGTATTGGTTGAAGTAATCCAGTGGCTTGACCTAAAGAGTCATGAGTTTAATAGAGTTGAACATAAACTTGGAAAGTTGAATTACTAAAGGGAAATAACTGAAACTGAGATATCCAGAAAAGACATGGAACTAAAACAATCTACACCAGTAGACAAAATAAAGAGTTTGATTTGAAATTCCAATATATATCACACCAAGAAGACCAGAGTGTACAGCGACTGAAACATTGTGAATATAACAATAAAGATGAGAACAACAGTCTGAACAATGTAAATAGTGTAAAGGAAGAAAACTGTAAATTCTCACAAATCAGTAATTATCTGGGATCGTCTCATGACAAATGGTTCTATTTGAGACCAGGTAAAAAATTTGAATTTCAAATGTTGATTTCCTAGACAAGAGGGTCCTTCCCCATTTGGAAGTTTAATTCTATACAATGTTCCTTTCCCCATGACCCTCCATTTATCATAAATACTTGTTTGGAAACACAATCTCACATTCATTATCATTTGCGTAACCACATGTAAAAAACATATCTGCCTGCTTGCAATATGAATATCCTGCCATTGTTAGATGGAACGCTTCTAAGTTAACTCACTACTACTCACGTTAAATGCTGCAGATAGATTAGCCACAAATATACATGAATGACAAATGTAACCTAGTCTACACGGCAACACATCTACCATAAACTTTCTTTAAACTTAATAACTCAAAAACAAAGTATTTGCAGACATTATATATTACATACATACACAGGGTGATTGAAAAGTAACTTTCTATTTTATATATCAGTGGCCAACCAGGAGTCCTGACTTAACACTCTGTGACTTTTTACTCTGGGTTTGGTTAAAAGAAGCAAGTCTAATTTTTCAAACCAAGACTTTGGAAGAACTTGAAGGGTGAATACAAGAAGTTATGTCTTTCATACCACAAGAGTTCCTGGGGAAATCAGTTGACATGATTACTGGGTGACTCAAGAAGCTGGTAGTGAAATCTGGTGCTCATATCAAATTTTGAATAAAACTTCATGCTAAACACTTTCCTCTCATATCCATTTCTAGTAAAAATTATAGTCAGTAAATAAATTATGTATTTTAAAATGGGGAGTTACTTTTCAATTATCCTGTATTTATACAGGGTGCTCTTATAGTCTGGACACATAGTAAATCTCATTAATCCTATCATTTTTTTTTTTTTTACCTCCACAAATTCAACATGGTTTTGTTGAAAGAATGAAAGAAAGAATAGACTTCTTTTTCTGGGGTATGTTAGTGTACTCAATGAAAATCAAAGATACAACATGCCTGATTGAATGCATAAAGAGTGAATGTTCTAAAACTGACGGCAATGTGGAGTTATTGAATCGAGTTCACATGAATCTTTCAACATGCATCAACTTTTGCATCACAGATGATGGAAATCATATTGACAATGTTATTTGTTAATATTCCAATTCAATAAATGTTGAAAATTTCTTGAAAATATGCATTTTTGCCTATGTATCCAGACTTTAGAGACACCCTGTATATGTAGTTTCAAAATATATATTTATGGGTAAAAGTGTTTGTGTTAGAATGTATGTAAATATATTCACAAATGAACCAATTATGATATTTTGCTGCTTCAGTTTCAATTTTAAGAACATGAAGGTCATTTGACCAAAATATCACACCACATTGTTGATAATGAGGAGTAATGAGCTTTAAACAATATTAGTTTCATGAACACAGGATAATTGCAATTTTATTGTGCTCAATTGGGCTGCAATTGAAAGCTAGGAATCTGATTTGAGAAAACTTAAAGATTCAAGGTTTTCAGGATTCAATTTTTTTAAAGTTCTATGCTTACTAATGGAAATCCATGTTGCCTTGCAAATACCGTTGGCTTTTATAATTAAGGTTCTTAATATGGCGTTATTTCTAGGGCCAAAGCACCACATTTTGTTCTCTTCTTTATGGACATGTCCTTTATAAAATTATCTCATGACTTGTGGGTAGGGTTCTCTCTGGTCATTTCCAAAGAGACATTCCATTAACACTTTCTGTGCACATGTTGTGTAAAAAGATCTGCAAAAAGGGATGTTGACCGAGTTTAGTGCAAATGTGATGAGGTCAGATAAAGAAATGTAGAAGTTCTTAGCTGAAACCAGTCTAACTTGTTTCAGTGTCATCTACCTACCCACCCAGGCAAAGCCCTAAATAGAATAAAAAAAATTTTATATAATGAGATACGGGGTCTGCATTCTTATTTATAAACATAATGTTTTGTCTTTCATCTTGTTACCTTGTGAGCATGCAGCAGGCTCCTTCCCAGTTTGTGGTGCACCATTGAGAATTGAAATGAAGAGTAATCATTGGCAGGTCAGTGGAAAGCTTGGGTGAGAGTTGCATTGTATATCAACACTTAACGTTAATTTCTTTAGACTAAATTATGATTTAACAAGTCAAAAACAGCTGTGGCATTCTCATTTCATAATAAAAGTAAAAACAGATGATTTTTCTTCATTTGACCAAAATAAGTCGCAAATATTTCTCAGCAATTTCTTCTCAACAAGACAGATTTTTTTACCTTGTTATGTGAGTTTATCCTAACATTATGTCAGCTTATTTGGAAGGTAGGCTGAGGGAAAGTCAGTTATTGTTATTTAATATTAACATGTTGACAAGCATTTTTTTTCACACCTGTACGTTTTATGGTAAAAATAAACCAAAAACATTTCTTACCTTGTTATGTGAGTCTATCCTAGCATTAATCTGACCCTCCAAAATTAGTTGCATCAACTCATCTTCTAAATCCTTTACATTTGTATTGAATGCTTCAGCCATCTTGTGCATATCAGCAGAGAGATAGGGACTGAAATACTGAAAGAAAAGAAAAAGGAAAATTGAACACATTTTAGTACTGAATGCTTCAACCATCTTGTACCTATCAGTAGAGAGATAGAGACTGAAGAAGAATTATGCTTCAACAATAGTAAAAAAACTCAGGTAATACTGATGTTCATATGCCTTGTAGATAGGGATTGAAATATTAAAAGCTAATATCAGCCTCATTCTTTTTGTAGGTCAGTGAAAATGCATGATATTTTTAAGCCTCTTCAAAATAATTACCTGTATATAGTGCAATCTGTTATTTTCTGTGTAAAAACTGTACATAATCACATTACTATACTCAAGTATGTAATGTGTGTGTGTGTGCGCACACAGAGTGTATCAAAAACACTTTTACAAACTTTGGGAGCAGGTTCCTCACACCAAAACAAGGACAAAAGTCCGTATAAACATATGTATGTAATACTTCAATTTTGAGTTATTAAATTTAAAGTTTACGGTAGACACTATTAAATGTAAAATCCAAAAATATTTATTAGTATAGTTTGCGGTGCCATCTTAGTAATGTGATGATAAACAGTGGCAAGGGTTGAATGATTCACAATCTGATACAGCTGTACAGCCTCGAGGCTCTATGTAAAAATCATATCTGCCTGTTCACGATATGAATATCCTGCCATTGTCAAACCAAACACTTCTCAGTTAACTCATTACTACACATGTTAAATGTTGAAGAGAGACTTGTCCCAAATGTACACAAATGACAAAATTAACCTAGTCTACATGGCAACACAACGCCAACACAACACACTGCAAACTTTCTTTAAATAATTCAAAAATGAAGGATTTGCAAAGATATGTTTATATGGACTTTTGTAGTCATTTTGGTATGTGGAACCCATACCAATGTTTGGAAATGCATTTCCGTGCAGCCTTGAGGCTGTATGTAAAAATCATATCTGCCTGCTCACAATATGAATATCCTGCTACTGTTCAACATTGAAGACAGACTCACCACAAATGTACACAAATGACAACCTAGTATCTGTCTAGGTATTAGATGAGGTATTATGTACACTATTTACATTATTTGGACTATTGTCCTCATCTTTGTTGCCATGTTTATCACAATGTTTTGGCTGTAGTATGCTCCAGCCTTCTTCAGGTGACTGGAATGAGCACTAGTAAAAAAATGGTTGCTGAATACATTAGGTTTATAATACCCAGAAATTCATAGACAGATGTCCTCAAGGACACATGGCACAGTGGATAAAGGTCTTAGTTAGATCCAGTGACAGGACCCAGAGAGTGTGAGTTCGATACCTGGTTAAGGCAGTGGAGAACTTTCAGAGAGAATTAACAGGAGATAACTGACATCCATCAAACATGGCACTAGAACAGAACTACCCCAGTGAGCGAAATAAAGGGCTCAGTTTGACATTCCAACCACCTGAAGAAGGCCAGAGGGTATATATATATATATATATATATATATATAAAAATACACACACACCCAGTATATACTCAAGTATAGTAAAAGTTTTTATGATCAGTTTTAACGTGGAAAAAAGTGGATTGCACTATATACAGGTAATTATTTTGAAGAGATTTAAAAAAAAATTAAAAAAATTAAAACATGCATTTTTGCTGATCACTTACACTATCCTCTCTATGTGTGAGTGAGAGAGAGGGAAAATGGATATTTTAATCTGACATTATTTCTTACTGCTATGTTTTTTTGTTTTTTTTTATTTGGTACATAATTTTGAATTGCTTTGTTTTTTATTTAACATTAAAATTAATTTCAACTGGTCTAGATCGAAAAAATGATTCTACAGCCGAAACATTACACTACTAATTTAAACCATTGGAGAAAATCTTGATAGAGCAAAGGTTGAATTATTAGTCCTATTAATGCACATCTCTCATTGGTACCTCTATGAATCTGTTTGCTTCATTTTCATATCTGAAATATAAACAACGGTCATTTTTTTAATGGATTTTTTAATCCAACATTACTACTTCTTATTATATTATTTTTAGTGGGTACATGTATTTGAGTTGCTATCCTTGTTTTTTTTTCTTAATCATCTCGGCTTCAGTCACTTTCCCATTGCTGTAATATAGCCCCTTGTGCTTTTTCTATAAATACTTTTATAGTAATTGTTCTGATGAACTTTCATCTCTGGTACGTAGACTTTTTGAATTGAAATGAAGTAATAGATTGGCGGCAGGGTCTTATCATTTTATAGTTGAAATGGCTAGATGTAACCGTTCTATGCTAACAGATTCTTCTCTCGCACTTCTCATTTTTGGAACTCTTTTCTGGATTCTTGCTTCACAGACAACTTTAATCTTCAAAAATTTAAATGCAATGTCAATCGTTATCTTCAGACTTCTTAATACTTATTCTTTTATTGTCCTCTCTCATTAATAGTATGTTTTTCTTATATTCTTAAACTCTGTAACCCCTTGCATCTTAGTAACTTTATTGCCTTGTGGATGAAATGAATAATAAAAAAAAAGATGCAGTGATTTGTCAGGAGGCATAATTTTTCTTTATAGGAATTCTCAATCTAGGTTAGTTGTTATTAATTCCAATTTCAGGACATTTGTATAGTGAAATCATTTTCAGTACTTTTCTATTATCATTTTTAATATATTTCTGTTAGAAAATTCAACAATCACTTTGTGAAACAGCCTTACCTGAATACTACAATTGTAGCCCTTTTCAGGTCATAGATCAAGTGTTACCTATCCACTTCATCCTGATATTCATTCAGACTTCACTCATCATTGCTATTTTAACAGTAAGCCTCTATCTTGAGTGGCTCTCACGCCTTATAGTGGGTGAATTTTAGTATTGTAGTGCCTTAATAAAAAATAGTATCAGCATGGGGGGGGGGAACAAAACGAAAAAAAACAATGTGAATCCTTCCTGTTTTTCACAACGAAGCAGCAGCCCTGGGGCAGGGGGTATTAAAATAAAAAAAAAAAAAAAAAAGAAGAATCCTTTGTATTTTTCTGAAGCAAAAAGTGCTGTGGATGCTTCATACAAAAACACACCTACACAGGTAAGTTACATTCATATATCTTCTTCAACATTTTGTTGTGTATGCAATTTACTTCTTGGAACAGAAACTCTTAAACTTTCCTTTTGTTATCTTGTTTAATCAGTCTCTTTTGTGCATGTACCTTTTCACCACCATATATTCATGTAAAATACCCTTGAAAAGAGACCGTATATATTAATTATAGAAGTAACCAACACACTAAACTGGTGACCCCCAGAACTATGGTGATAAAGCCAGTAAGACACAAGGGGTTACTGAGAATGAAAGAATCCAAGTAAAATCATAATCAAGGAGAGAGGACAATAAAAGAACAGGTTTCAAAAAACAGAAGATGGCGACTGATGCTGCATTGAAATTTTTGAAGATTGGATTGTTGTTGACTGGAAAGCAAGAAGCCAGACGAGACCTCTACAAACAGATTACTCTTTTTGCAGTGCTTTAACAAACATGATATCAGCAGCAGCTCTTAATAAACTTATTATCAGTAGCAGCTCTGGGGATATAAAACTAAGTGAACCCTTAAAATAATTCTCTTCCTGTTTTTCACACAAGCAAAAAGAGCTATGGATGCCTCATACACAACATTCCTACATAGGCAAGTCACATTCAAATACCTTCATTAACATTTTGTTGTGTATGCAATTTACTTCTCAGAAAAGAAACTCTTAAAGTTTCCTTTTATTATTTCACTAGCAGCATGGCCCGGCATTGCCCATTCTTGATTCAAAAATCGTACAACTCATACAGCAATCGCTATCACTTGACTTAAAATATTTTTGCCTTTTCTTGCCTTTAAAGGAGTGCCCTTTGCTGTACTGATGTTGCTACATGCCTTACTTCTTGCCTATCTCACACTGCAAATTTTTTCTAAGCTCTATACTAAACATTAAATCTGTTATAAAAAAAAGAACTAAACAAATGAACACAAAAGGATCAGCTTTAAAAAAGGACTCGTAACTGGAAAAACCGAATGAAAAAAGAATGTTAACAACAAATAATTTTTCACACCCAACCCAGTTCTGCAGAATCAGAATCAACGTTGAGTTTAAGCAAGCGAATGAGCCAATTGGAGTAAAGTGCAATGCAGATTTAAATTTTTCCCCACTTGTGACAAATGCAGCTATCAATTTTTTTTGCATGCTAGTTAACATTAGTGTCAGTCAGCTGTTGGCTCTCATGCTGGCCAATAGAATCTTCCTGCCTATTCGTGGCAGCCAGCTATTGGCTCTCACTCTGGCCAGTAGAAAATGGCCACAAACTACATGAAAACTGCCGTAGAATCATGAAAAAAAAAAATCAATTATTTCCACTATCAATGGGAGTTGGGAAATGCAAGGTCGGTCTTAGCCTTCCTGCTAACTTGGAGCAGGTGCATGTAAATTTTGGTGCAAATCCGTCGAAAATTGTGCCTGTGCATTCGTTACACACACACATCCTGCCTTTTATAGATAGAGATTTAATAAATGTTTATCTTGCATTGCAAATCAATCAGTCTCTTATTTTGTGCATGTACCTTTTCATCACCATTACTTCATGTGTTGTAAAACATTCTCATAAGAAATATTAATTATTGAAGTAGCCAACACAAGTATTAACATAAAATAAATGTCTAATACTGGGGTTTTGTCTCTACATTGTGCTGAGAACAGAAAAAGGAATACAATCATTTTTATTGCTTGCCTCGATGACAAATGAATGGAGAATAAAGTGAAATATTGAGCAGAAAGAGCAAAGACATAAAAGAAAAAATAATTTCCACTTACCTGACAAAGAGCTTTGTTTCTAATTAGTGTATACAATTTTTTGATGTGTGGTGCCAAAAATATATCTAATAATAAATTATTCTGAAATGAGACAAAACAATACTGTATTTTAAGGCCCATCAATTTCAATCTTCTTTATTTCAATCACTATATTTAAATGAAAATTCAGTAAACATGGCTAAACATGCCTGTAATAAGACAGTGTCAAAAGGATGGTTTTTCCTTTGACACTGCTATTATTTTAACTACCTTCATTTCTTGGCAATGTTTAATATTTTAAAAAGCAATGATTAGAATTGTAATAAAACCTCAACATATGAAAGTGAACTTTTTTTGTTCTTGAGAATTTTAGAATTTAACCAAGTTGGTCTTTCAAGTGTAACCTAGTAATCTTGTTATTACTGTTCATTTATCATGCACAATTGGTCAAAATCACTTATACTATAAAAATATTTTCTAGCTTTAAATAACTGGCAAAGGGTTGATAACTGTAAAAAAAAAAAAAAAAAAAAAAAAATCAATCAATATGAATATCAATCAATAATGATCCAAGTGATTTTATAGGCTTTCAGACTATTCAAGTTTGTCCTATTAAAAAAATTTTGTAGGGGTCAAAATTAGTGGTAGGTCAAAAGTGCAAGGTCAGGTGTGTATGCCATGTGTAATAGAACCTATTAGCCCAGCTGGACCAATTTCTGCTGAGTCTAGCATTGCTCTGATGGAAGATGATAGCCATCTGATTAGCCAAATGCAGACACTTTTCGTCAATTTCTCCTTTTAATTGGTTGATTTTGGGAACTATACTTGTTTAAATTCAAGGTCTGATTTTGAAGAAAAAGTCTGAAATATACAGTACTCTTTCAATCCCACCAGATGCAACATCACTTTCTTCGGATGCAGGCAGATCTAAATACTTAAATACTTGATGAAATGCTTAATAACTAGTAAACAAATACACAAGAAAGTGTTAAATGCTCTGAGAAAAATATTAATACCCATCAAAATATTGCTCAAGTCAACCACACTGTAATTACTTACAAGAATGTTTTTGCCTAAGTTTTCACATTTACTTACTTTTATTTCTTCCATTAACTTCAGACAGAAATAGTATTTGGATTGGTTGAATGTATTCAGAATGTGCCTCAGCTGAGGTTCTGACTCCAAGAACATTTTGAAACCACTGAAAATATATTAAAAGAATTATCAGTTACTCATTTATGTAAAGCTGAGATTTTTCAATTTCTGCCAGACTCTTTTACACCAAACAACTCATATTTAATAAATAACTTTAAATATTTCAACTAATAAGAGTAAAAATTTAATAAATATGGAACAAAACAATTATGATGAAGAGAGAATTAGAAAAATAACGAATGTGTCTTACAAAATAAGCACAATATGAGTGATATGGGGAAAATTAAAGGGAATAATTTGTGCTTACACTTATATTCTTAAGCACAACATTCAGCTTAGTCCAAAAATTAAGCATATTTTAAGCATGAAGCGAGGTTCATTTTTTTTATTAGCATGAAGCTTATCAGCACAACAAGGTTCAGCTTAGTCCAAAAATTAAACATATTTCAAACCTAAAGTGAGGTTCACATTTTTTATTAGTGTGAAGTTTAGCAGCATGACAAAGCTCAGAGAAATCAGTGGCATCATACTAGCTAAGCATCCAAACCTATTGTCAAACAAGGACGGTTTGAACAGAAGGTAATTTTCTACACTTGTGTTGAACTTTTAGCTTGTTCCAGATGGTCAATGCTCTAAATGCTGACCATTATATCTTAACAACTGCAGCAAGTATATGATGGTTTGATACTTGTCCAGTCATTGCTGAATTGTTTATTCTTTAATTTATAACATAAACATTAACTGTTGATTCTTTATTTTAAAGCTTTGATAACGGAAAGTAAACAGATTGTAATTAGAACCATTTTACATTACCTGTGCAAAAAAGGACTGAGTGCAAGAGTAGCATCAAAAGAGATTAATAATGGGGGTAGGCTCAGGAACTGTCAACAATTGTGTGGCACAAAACTGGTTCAGACATTTCAAGGAAAGTGACACCAGCCTCAAAGACAAACAGGGAGACCTTCTGTTGTGAAAGATGAGACCTTGCTTGAAATTGTTGAACAACAGCCAAACATAAGCACTCTTATATTGTCAGCAGAACTTGGTCCTTCACAAAACACCATAAATTGAGATATCCATAAACTTGGTCTTGTGAACAGAAGCTGTCAAGAAGTTCCTCTAACTGACCAATGACCAGGATCAAGGACGTGTGAACATTTGCAAAAAACTGCTAGCAAATCCTCAAAATGTCCATTTTTGGCATCAAATTGTGACTGGAGATGAAAATTGGATCTACTTTTGTAATTATAATAAGAGAAATCTATGGTTTTGTTCTGGCCAGGCTTCAGAACCTTGTCAAACAAGGGCAGTTTGAACAGGTCATGATATGTGTTTGATGGAAATTCAAGGGGGTATTGCACTTTTAACTTGAACAACTGCAACAAGTATATGATGCTTTGAAAGCCAGTTAACCAGGATTGGTCAGTTGATTGATCACTCCTACAGTATGACAATGCCTAAAAATACACTGCCAATTGGACAAAGTGCTGGAAGTGCTGCCTCAAACTGCCTACAGTCCAGACCTCACAACGTCCAATTACACCCTTTTCAGAGACCTGACTCATTTCCTGCACTGATAAAGGTTCAACAATGTGGATGAGGCTGAAAATGGGTGCAGGGATTCATTTAGCCAAATGGTATATGTAGAATTGAGCTTCTGGCACAAAAATCACAACAGACAATAGAATATGATGGGATATATTTTGATGAATAAATGCTTTTCAAATTTAATTTGATTGAACTATTAATTAAAACTTGAAATGCAAAAAACATTTAACTCAACCTAGTAAGCCTCAAGTAACAAGTAAATAACAACTGCCTCTCTTTAACCCCTGGTCTATCAGAAACAGTACATAATTAAAAGAGCTATTTCTCTGGATGATACTCTTTTGTACTAGTGCTGGGATAATTTTTCTACTTTGGAAATAAGTATTCTGGTTTAAATAAACATTCTAATAAAGCTTGTAATAATTTTTAGACTAATCTGAACCATGTTGGGCTTATATTGACAGGAGTAGACGTTTAACACTTGTTTCCTGTTTAGGACTGTTTCGGTTTACATTAAAAATGTATTCTTATTCTCTTACACTCCCAGTAGTCCCCTGTGTTTTAGTGACATTATTGCCTTGCTTGGGGTGAATTGATAAAAAAAAAAAAAAAAAAAGAAGAAGCCTTTTCTAATAAAAAAATCTCAGCTCTGACTCATACTTAATCTAATCTGAGCCTTGTCCTACTCATAAGCTTCAGGCTAAGATAAAAGTTTTGGCCTTTCTTCATGTCTAAATTATTTTAACTAATCTGAGAATTATCCTACTTAGCTTATCTGCTAAGACAAAATCTGAGCCTTGCTTTATGCTTAAATTAGGTTTAATTTTTGTACTCTTCTGAGCCTTGTCATGTTTATAAGCTTCATGCTAATAAAAAAATTTGAGCCATGCTTCAAATATGTTTAATTTTTGGACTAATCTGAATCTTGAGTCTAAAGTCTGTTTTTTTTAACAATATTGGAGTGAAAATAAAATAAAATACTATAAAATAAAAAGTAAAGTAAAAAGAAAATAAAATACTATAAAGCATATTGCTTTTTATTTGGATTGTGAGAATATTTATTTATTTTTTTTTTGTGAGTGAATATTGCAATTTTTTCTTGATATTAATTATTTCCCACAAATACAAGTCCTAAAATTTAACCCATAGTGAAGAGAGAGACAAGATCGCTTGATAATATCCCAAAAATATTTGTGCGAAGGTGAATGCAACAAACCCATATAGAAGTTGAACTTGGTTCAGATTTCTTTATCTGAGCCTCTATTCACTATACTACCTACACATTCATGGTTTCTACAGAAGAGAAAAAAAAGTTTATATCGACATTAACTAATTTTTTTAGAGGCAGTTTGCTGACTCAATTCCATGACAGCATAGCCTGCTTACCCAACACCATGGAATTAAACCTGCTCCTTACATTTAAAAACTGAACTATTTTAGTTGATGAAAAGAGAAATACTTACAGGTTAGAGATGACATTTTTCTGCAGTTCTTGACGATCAAACAAAGCCAGAGCACATAGCGTACCATAAGTAGCTACATTATTTACAGAAAGCATCTGGAAATAACATTTAGACAAAAAATAATAAAAGTGCAACATATTGTAGAAAAAGGGTGTTAAGAGTCAAAAATCACTCTAAAGTAATCCGGCACAAAATGCAAACCAAGAGACTTCACAGTGTGGCCCATAAGGTCTTTTCAAAATAGTGAGTTTTTTGTGTTCCTAAGAATAAATTCAGCAACAGATCAGTTTTGTGTAAGCCTGACTTTGCATTTAATTAATTGTTGGTTCCCATCTACAGTAGGAATGACAGCAAAAATATCCCCCTCCCAAAATTTACAGACAAAACATATATATATGCATGCTGGGATTTCTAAGATAGGCAATTTCTTGGTCTCATCTATTCTTTCTTGTCTTGAAGTCAGAAAACTGCAATTGATTTTCTGCATCCCTTTTGTGTGTTAACACCATTCTTAGTTTGTGAATTTATTGCCTTATTACTGTTGCTTTGCCTATTTTTGTCTTGCATATATTATTTCTGCCCTGTTCTTTTTTTCTCTTGTTATTGCTTATTGCAAACTTTGTCAATTCTGTTGGGCTTTTCTGCCAATTACATTTAAACATGGCCTTTAATTCTCCAGGGAGAAAAAAAATTGCTATCCCTCTGTCTATATATCTATTCCTATCTTAGTTCAATATTTGATGTCCATTCCAGAAGGTTTGGAGACTTTTTCAGGAGAGACATTTATTAATTTTAAAGAATTACAAAACTCTAACCTCCTAATCTAGCTTTGATTAAAAAAAAAAAAAAAAAAGTTATTACCATTATGACAAGTCAAAGCTTGTCTTCTCCATGGTCAATTATTAAGAAATTCCATTTCGGGTTATCAAATACAACAGGTACCTGAAGATGACCAGAGAGTACTATAACAACCAAGATGAGGATACTCGTCCAAATAGCTTGATATATACTAAAATATTGAGAAGAGTCATGTCTACTGCTTTCTCAATTATTAAAATATTTATCATGTTCAATTTTTAACACATTTATTATTTTTTTATTAATACAGAGTGGGGCATAAATACCTCCCACATAATGGTAAGACTAATGTCATACCATTAACCCCAAGTTTCCAAGATTTTTCCATTTTCTGAAAAACACATCCCTAATGCTAACAAGGGTCCTAACACCCAGAATTTGAACCTTTTTGTAATTCAACTGTCTTACCATTACCTGGGAGGTATTTCTGTCACACCCTTATGGTTCAATTTTAAAGTTTAATCAAATTGATATTTTTATTTATTGTTTTAAATTTTATTTTTACAATGAACCTGACATACCTCCAAAAGATAGATTTTTAAAATCAAGTATTTACAATATCATTCCAAACAGTTTGAGTTTGGCAAAAAACTAGTCACCTGAAAAGGGTTGGAGATCTAATTGGCTAAGATATAATAATATGAATAGCAGTGTAAACAAATCAATTTAAAGTAATGCTTGCATTTTAAGATCTGAAAGACATGATAAAAGTGGAAACTCACCTCTGGATAATTGAAATTATCAAATGAGGCTTGCAGGAAATTTTTGGCAGCAGCCTTGTATTTTCCAGTGGCCAAATCAGCCAATCCAGCAGCGCATTTCAATTTGGTCTGCACAACTGGATCCACGTCCTTTTCATATCAGGAAAATTGGAAAGAAACAAAGAGAAAAAAAGGGACGGCAATGTTAAAAACATGTGTATGGTAGCATGGGAGAATAAATGAAACAGCACCACTGAGGTGAAAGAAAAAAACAAAAATTGTAAATATAAAATTCTTTTGTATTTGCCATTACAGCAGATCCGAGTAGAATGTTTCAGTGTGGCAATTTTGAATGTAGGTAAAGTTCGTAAGGCCTAGAGTTGATGCATTTGGCAGGTTGCTTGACTGAGGTCATGGTGGTGACGATGAGAGAGGCCTGGAGTGGATTAGTGGAAATTTTTCTGTTATTTTCAGATTCTGGTCAGATGAGAAAATAAATGAAAACAGCAATAACCAGCCTGTGTGGCAGTGTGAAAATACAGCAAAATTGTTGATAAATGGTTCTTTAGTTGCCGTTACAGTGGATGTGTAAGGAAGGTGATTTTGAAACAAAGTAAATCTTGATAAGGCTTGGAGTTGACATATTTTTGGAGTTGGCTGACTGAGGTCACAGTGATAACATTGAGAGAAGCCTGGAATGGATTAGTGAAGCTGCAAATCTGACTTTGTCAATACAGAGGATGTGAGTGGAATGTTTGTATATAAGCATGATATAGGTGTTTGGAGGAGGGTGGGTCTCAAGCAGATATATTTGTTGGGTCAGTTGACTTAAATCATGGTGGTGATGTTGAGAGCCTTCTGGATGCTGACAGCTGACCTGATGGCTGCATTCTGTGCCGGTTGTCTATAAGTGGCTTTCTTAAAAGCAAATCTAATCATTTCTGAACTCATCCTTCTTTGGCAGCAACATTCATGATTAGCTTCCTTTTATGCTTCATTTTAGATTTTTGCAGGGATTTGTTTTGTTCTGTGATGCTCAGAGCCCTTGCACAGATGACAAGTTTTGTTTTTTTATTTTGGGTTTTGCTTTCTCAGCACTCACATCTGGCTGATATGTAAAGTGAATCAGAGATTTAATTTGCAGCAGTACATGACAACAATAACTTTGAGAATATGGAAACAGCTTACAAGAAGCTAAGAAAATGGCTAGATGAGAACACTGATAATAAATGGAAAAAAAAATACAAAATACAGAAGGTTTCCATTGATACAGTAAAAGCTACACTGCTGCATCCACATGCTTTTAATATAAAACAAATTGGAAAGAAAGAGAGACAAATAATAAGACAACAGAAATGAAAGAGAGAAGATTGGGTTGGCTTGTGTTTTTTGTATTAACACTTAACAGTTGGGTGTCATAAAGGTTTATAAGTATTCTTGAAGACTTATTTCCTATATACATGTTGACTGCAACATGATTTTGAGTAATGCTATTACTTAAGTTATTCTCAAATATAGGCAGCATGAATATGATTTTTAGCCCTGTTCTGGTCTTACATTCTTTTGTGCAAATGTGGCAATGTTGGGAACCTCTTGCAGTAGTTTTACATTAATATTTTGGTGAATTTTTAACATGTGGAGTCTTAAATGATTTTTAAGGCCTTCTCTACTTAAACTTCAACATTATGTGCCAACATTCTCAAGGAAATTAAAATTAAGATCCTTACGAATATCTCCAGTTTTCCATGTTCAGCATGATTCTGTTCAAAACCATTGCTCATTGATTTCTCCCAGGATAAATGATCTAGAGCAAGGTTTTCCAAATCATTGTGCAATATGATGATTTTCTGCAGTATGTTCCCAATACAATCTGTATACTTCAACTTCAGTTTCTGTGCTGGTCTATTTTTCCTTCAGTTGACTCACCATACAGATACTGCTTAGAGATCCTGTCATCTTTCATCCTGACCATTCCATCATAAGCGGTGCTTGGATCTACTGATGATTATAATTGTGCTTGTCCTGCCTTTCATTAGTTCACATGACCATTACACACTGCCAATAACTAAAAGACTATTCCGTTTTTATCATGTGAAAAGAGAGGGAAAGACACTAAAAAAAAAAAAAAATGAAAGCTAGAAGTGTTTAATGGTGGTTTCAGTGAAATGGAAAAGTTGTCAATTTGAAATCTTTTCATTTGTACCCCCTTACTTCTTTAAATTAACAACTAATAAAATAAAACCATCTTATTATCATTCTGTTTGTCCTTCCCTTAGTTAACATGACTGACCATTACATCCTGCCATTACCTCATAAATAATGGACTATTCCATTTTGAGTGTGCGGAAAGACATGAAAAGACATATACATGGTATTAGTAAGAAAAAGAAAGAACAGAAAATAGACGTGTTTAACATCTACATAAGCGAGATGGAAAAAGTTGTCACTTTTAAATCTTTTCATTTGTACCCCCCTTACTTCTTAAAATAATGACCAGCATTCATATTTATGATTGTTATTGCAATATTTTGTTAAACTTGTTAAGCTCAAATATTTAATGATGTGATTAGGGAATTTCTCTAGATATTTTTGAGATTATTCAGTCGTTAAATTAAGATTCATCAAAAAATTAAAGTTGGAAAACCATGAAATTTTCATGGGTCTTTCTAGTATCTAAGTCAGTGCTTCTCAACCTTTTTAAGCAATGACAAATCCAGGAGCAAATTATAATATCATGGCACAATTAGCAAAATTTCTAAACAGTATACATCGTTATGAAATGAAACCATAGATTTAAAAAATATACACACACAAATCTGAACTTACTTTATTTCAATGTTTTTATTCAACTATTTGTGCAGCTGGGCCAGGTGTTATTTCATGATTTCTTCCATGTTTGGTCAAATGTGCAATAACCAGACTCATTTCTTCTTCAGTTGAGCATAGTCTGTCTTGTGTCTTATTTATTATGTTATTTATAGTTGAGAAGCCTAATTCACATAAATAAGAAGTAGAAAATTGCGATAAAGCCTTTTTAGCTAATGTAGGATAAAGAGTTTAATATTTATTCATTTATTTGAATACTAACCCTGTACCATTACTACTTCCAAACATACATGTACACACACGTATATGTAAACTGCAGCAATAGTGTGCCGCAACATGGCGGTTGAGAATCACTGATCTAAGAATTTGGAGTTATTTTTTATTATATAATTTAGCATTTCATGAGAATTAAAATAGTATATTTAGTTCAGTTTTGTTGAATAATTCCTTCAAATATTTTTTAATTGATAATATCTGAGTCAGGTCAGCCTGAAGTCATCATATTTTATCAAGAGATATCATACAATGTATGGCTCAAGGCACACTTTACACATGGGTGGTACATTTTTTAGTATCTGTGGCTGTTTTAGAGAAAATAGAAACAAAAAGGAAACTTATAGTTAACATCAGGAAGTTTGTTTAGCAGCATATCAACTCCTTATGGGACGAAATTTAATTTTCTTGAGAGCATTAGTAATTTTATTTACAAAAATGTATTGCTTGGGATATTTTTGTTTATTTACAAAAATGTATGGTTGGTAATTTTTTTTTATTTTTTTATTTTGATAGTGTTTTGACCCCAGTTTAGAGGGTTAACTATACCTGGGAAGAACACAAATTAAGAGGTGGTCCATGCTCTTCAAAACCTCCCAATCAGACACCTTGCTGCTGGATGTAGTTTGTCATATCCAGGAAGAAACAGTTGAAATTTCTGGGGCATCTTTGAGGAAGGAGGGTTTGGAAAATCTGATACTCACATGACAGAGAAAAATAGTGCATAACATACTTGATGGGCTTGAATAAGTCGATGCCAGAACAGGTTTTAGGAGAAAAAAAAAAATAAAAAAATTTATTAAGAGCTACAAGGAACAGGAAGCTGTGGAGGGCCATGATTGCCTACGTCCTGAGGAGACACGGCACATAAAGAAGAAGTGTGAGATGTGTCAGGCAATATTTAGGAAAGGAAGTAGGGAGAGGGCTGTAGTATAATTGTACCTACCTCAGATCGAAGTATTGTATTTTCAGCTTTTTGGATATGATTGATCACCTGAGGCCAATTTTCTATGAATATGCTAATCTATAAAATAAAAAAGGTTTATTTTATGGTAGAAGAAAAAAATAACAACATGAGGAATTATGTAGACTATCATTCTCCAAGTACGACCAGATTTACAATTGTGATAATGCTTTATCTAAAACTTATGCAAACGGAAAATCTGTAATGAAAAGCAAATTAGATCAAATGATTCAATATGAAATGATTTTTGTTTAAAAATAAAAAAAGTAATATAGCATTTAGAGTAATCAAAAATATATATTTCACATACAAAAAAGAAACACACTCAAAGAAACAACTCTGCCAATGGCTTATGAAAACTGAAAGTGTCTAGAAGACAGTGGAAAAAAAGGTAATTTTAAACAAAGAACATTTGTTGGTTTCAAAGTGTACCTGCAAAAATGGAAAATTGCTGTCCAAATAAACCTTGTGTGTGTGCGCGCACACTTGTGTGTGTGTGTATATATATATATATATATATATGGTGGGCGTGACAAAATAAAAGTTTGTAGCATTTTTTTAGATAAATTTCAAAAGACAATATATTTGTATATAAACTTGTCCAACTACATGTGTGCCATTTTGTTTCACTATTTCTTGCCATCTTTGTGGCAGCTTCATGATTTTATCCTTCTAGTGCTTGTGAATATGAAAGGTGTAGGAGGACGTCCCAGTCAAATTGTAATCTTTGCTGGGTCTGCAAATAAAAATGAGGTTTGATTTTCAGATGAGACATGGAACTCTTCTAATTTGGCCAATTCTGGATACTTTTCAATGATTGATGCGTTTTAATCAGTTCAATTCAATATCTGATTTTGCAGAAGGCATATATAATATACAATGTCTTTCCAATCTCACCAAATCATATTTTCAGATGCAGAATGGTTTTAGAGTGGTTAGTGATGGCTCATCTTGTTTTCCCCAGAGCTTTTTAATTTTTTCTTTTTTTTTTTTACTATTATTTAGCTAAGTCTATACTACAGAGTATCTGATCAAAACCAATATAGTGGCACCCATGAGAAATCATCATAAGTGTCTTTATAGTCATTTATTTCCAGTAAATGGCAATTTTCAATTTTTCCCCAATACAGGCCAGTATAGCCATGCCACAGTGCAGCAGTGAAAGTGTTAAAAACTGTGGATGGATAGATGTTCCTGTCAAATATGTTTCAGTCTTAATCTTAGAATGAATGAAATTTAGAAATTCAATGAAGAAGAAACAATTTACTGTTACCTTGATGACATTTAGACACATATTAACCACATGTTTGGGGCTGGTGCAGTAGTCTCGGGCCCTAGAATAACATTTCAAGGCATTGCATAAATCTCCCATATCCAAGTAATGGTCTCCTAAGTCATCATTGCCTCGTCTAGTAAGGAAACAAAAAGACAGAAATACAAGAACATGAATCCATCACTACTCTGATGTCAGAAAGAAAAGGGAATACAAAAATTGGGTCACACAAATAGTATACACAAACATATACACTGATTCTAAAAAAAATTAATAGATTTTATTTATAATCCAACATTATTTATTACTATATAATATTATTTTTTATTATCTATAAATGTTTATTGGATATTTTGTGTTAATTGGCAATGTGTGATTTAATAAAGTTTTTATCATAGAAATGATAAATTAGTCTACAATGTAATGTAGTCATTGTGTAACCAATGTACAAGTTATTTGGATTTTTATTATTAGAGAAGTGGGCATGAAAATTCATAAAAATTACACTGTTGATGTTTTTATTTTGCTGTTCTTGTATTCCTACTTGGAACAATATTAGATAGAGATCTTTGATTTCTTACAGAAAGATTTAAAAAAAAAAAAAAAAAAAATGAATTTCTATATAAAAAAGACAATTCAAATTTGTATTTATTTATTTAATCATGGTCTGAAAACACATCTATTCTATGGTTTCCGAAGTCATCATTGCCTCATCTAGCAAGAAAATAAAAAGACAGAACAAGGATCTATCACTACTACAATGTCAGAAACAAAAGGGAATAAAGATTTGGTCACAAAGATTTTATAGTCCAAGAAATAGTATACTCATAGAGAAACTAATTCTAATGAATAAATGGATTTTATTTATAATCCAACATTCTTATTATGAAAAACATTTAGTGGATATACATTTGAGTAGATATTCATAGTTGGGATAAGAATGATCTTGAACAGAAAATCAACATTCTACCAAGTGTTCCAAGAAATAAGACACAAGATAAGCTTTTCCAAAACTATGATCAGGAATTGGAATGGAAGCAGTGATGGCACCTACTCTAAATTCACCATAAAAATTCAGGATGTGGAATTACTAAGTACTAAACACCTCAGATACCCCACAGAATATGGATCAGTTATAACAAATTTAATATAGGAGAAAAGGAAATTGAACATAGAATATGTTGTACGAGAGGTAGTCTCACCCAATGATGCAACTGTCAGCTATATTCAACCACTTAAAAAGGCTTTGGATTGAATTAAATCTGAGGTGATTGGCAAACATCATCATTCTTTGAACATTATGGATTGGCACTGCAGAATCACAGACAAAGAACTAAAACAAATGATAGAAACCACATCACGTGAGGCCTAGCAACAACTAAAATGGATAGCACATTTAACTCAAAAGAGAAAATAATGACATAATGAATACATTGACATTCTACACTACTTCTAATAAAAGGTTAGGAAGGAAACTGTCATCAATACCGTAAAGAGCAATAGCAGCTATGTCCCTGAAAAATTGTTTTAAGAGAAAGATTTTATAAATTTCAACTGAAAGCAATACTGGCTGCTCAGTCAATGAATGTCTCCATATTAGGAGATATTTGGAAACTGCTCTCTATTAATCATCTGAGAAAACTCTTTCTGCCTTCCATCAGCATGGCTAATGCTAACCTCCAAGAGAGTGACTTCTCAGGTTAACATTCTTGGCTGACATGAAGTGGAGTGATTATGTTGAATTGTTAGGTCTGCTGCTAACAAAGTTAGTTTACTGTGCCATGTTAGACATTTATTCTCCCTAGAATCTGTCTTGCATATCTCTAAGTCTACCATTCATTAATGCTTAGAATATTGCTGCCACATATGGTTCAGAGCTCCTGCTTTATATCTAGAGTTCCTTGACAAAACTCAAGGAATAATCAGCAATATTATTAGTCCTGACCTGGCATCTCAACTTCAGTCACTTTCCCACTGCTGTAAAGTTACCTCCCTGTGCCTTTATTATAAAATACTTTCATGGTAATTGTTCAGATCAGCTCTTGACTATGGTAGCTAGACTTTATGAATTTAATCACAATACTGATGTGCTAAATTTTCACGAATAAGTTTTTGGAAATACCTGACTGCCTCATTCTATGCAACTTGATGTGGTTTTTCTATTAATTTAACACTTGCAGGTTTTATTGGAGACCGAGTACTTCTTGAGCCTTCTCAAGCCTTTCAACACTGCTCTTAGTGCAGTCACTATCTCGCTTTTTTATTTTACCATTTACAACACAAAAAGATAAGGAGAAAACAGCGCAATCAGTGAATGCTGTAAAAACAACTAAAAACAAACACGTATATTAAAGAAATTTTTTTTTCCCCCAACAATAATCCAGTAAATTTATTGATGACAGTCTGTTTCATGCTGAAATGCAATTGCATGAAACAAACGCTATGTCCTTGATATTGAGCATTTAACCTGTAAATATAGCATACCATAAAACTATATATATATATATATATATATATATATATAATTATTTTAAAAAAAAGATGATTCATACTTTTTTTTAAATAATTATAAAAAAATTTTTTTTTAAATAATTATAATTTAAGCTTTACTTCTGTATGGAGAACTGTTTTTTTTAAAAATAAAAACAAAAATACTAAAGATCTCCGGATTATTTACCTAACGTGTTCTTTCCTATTTTTCTACATATCTATACACACTATATATATATATATATATATATATATATATATATATATATATATATATATATATATATAGTTATGGTCCGGTTCCTTGTACCACGGTGATAGTCCAAGGTAGAACCAATAAAGAAGAACTCAAACACGTATATGGAATAACACAGATATATTACAAACAGGAATATATACAGAGAAGAAGAAAGTGTTAGGACGAACAATCAGGTTTAGTAGTAATTGTCTGAACGTGACTGTTTCAGACTGCCTCTGCCTCGACTGACTGACTCGCTCTGACTGACTGACTGACAGACTCCTGACGGACCTCACTCCAGACTGAACTCTCTGTTTCCTCTTGAGGCGCAGTATTTATTACATATGGAATAGTCCATTATGTTATTATGGGTAAGGTCCCATAACACATAGAGAGAGAGAAAGACATTGTTTAGACTTTACAATAGTTACAGAGAAAGAGAGTGTTTATTGACAAGCAATGTTAACATAAAAATAACAACATCTGAAGATCATGTTGGAGCCTGAAATTGGAGTTAGCATGCAGTACAGATGTTTACAATGTGTATATATGTGTGTGGGTGTGCTCTGCTTCAAAATGGTACAAATATTAGTTGTATGACAGTTTCACCTCCTCTGAAATTTGAGTTTGTTCTGAAATCATTCAAGCTGACATGTAAACAAATAGGTAACCACAGCTATGAAATTCAAGCATTTGGCATTTACTAAGCAACATGAAGCCTAAAGCAACGTTATACTTTCAGATGAATCTACCTTGTAAACAGTTCATTATGTGTAAAAGAAACATGAGTAGAACTGTTGGTTGCCAACTGTAACAAATGGATTCTCAGCATGCTCTGCTACATCCAAGCAGTAATCAAAAGCAAAGAAAAGGACCAAAAATCCAATTACTCCATTTTAAACAGTATTCATTATATTTACTGACCCACATACTCAAGAATTCTCCTGCAAAGAGGAATGCAAGTTTGGATCCTGCTAGAGAATACATTTCCTTTGAGTTTTCTCGATTGTTCAGGCTGGTAGATGAATTAAATACTGTTTACCAGAAAACAAAGCGCCTACTCAAATACAGGTATCCACTAAAGAAAAATAAAAGTCTGAAGTAATAAACATGAATTACATCAAAATTAACATAGAAAGATAATGAAAAAAAAAAAACTAAGAAAATGACAGTCAATTGCTGTAACCTCCTAGCAAATGGACTGAACAATTATTGGGTTGTCCGGAAAGTTCATGCCAATTTTTAGTCGTTAGAACACAAATTTATTGACAGATATAATATACTTACATTTCTGATTAGAGCATACTTCAAATTATCTATTGAGATCCCCATGAAAATAGAAGATTATAAGGTGCACCGATGTATTTTTTTTACCATAAAGGCAAAAATGCTTCTCAAGCAACAAAAAAGATGTACTGTGTATGGTGAAGGTGCTTTGGCTGATAGAATTATATGGAAGTGGTTTGCTAAGTTTAGAGTTGTTAATGGCAGACATCCCCCCCCCCTTTACTACAGATGATGACTAAATCAAGGCAGTCATTGAGAATAACCCACATTACACAATGCAGGAATTGGCAGAAACAGTAAATTTATCAAAATCCATCATCCATGAACACTTAGTGAAGCTTGGGTACTGAAATCGCTATGGCATTTGAGTACTACATGATATAAGTGAAAAGAATCTTTTGAATCACATTTCATCTATGGTTTGCTGTATAAACGCAATGAAAATGCATCCTTTTTTAAGAAAATTGTGATGGGTGATGAGAAATGGATAGTTTACAACAATGTTCAGCAAAAAAAAATTCTTGGGATAAGCGACATGAGCCAACTTTAGCCACCTCAAAAGCAGAAAGTCATATCTGGTGGGATTCAAAAGTATTTCTGTACTATGAGCTTCTGCCAAGTAACCAGTCAATTGATTCTGAAAAGCACTATTCACAACTGGATGAATTAAAAAGGCAGCAATTCAAGAAAAACACCCAAAATTGGTGAAAAGGAAGGGTGTAATTTTCCATCACATTTCTTTGGTGACCCAGCAAAAATTGTTGCAGCTTGGCTGGGATGTGTGACCACACCTGCCATATTCACCAGACATTGCTCCTTTGAGTTTTCATTTATTCAGGTTCTTGCAAAATAATCTCAATGGTAAAAATTTTTATTCTTTGGATGACATAAACAAATAACACCTTAATGAGTTCATGGCAAAAGAATTCTGGGAAGACTGAATCTAAGTTGAAGGAAAATTGGAGAAAGATTCTTTAACAAAATGGTTCATATTTAGTTGAATAAATAATTAATGGCATAATTTTGTTTTGTGTTTTAATTACCCTTAAAAATTAGCATGAACTTTCTGGACAACCTAATACAAAACTCTGGAGTTTAGATGCTGAATATAACATCAATTAGCTAAGTGATTATATATATATATATATATATATATATATATATATATATGTGTGTGTGTGTGTATGTATGTATATATGTGCATGTGTGTTTAAACACTTACCGTATACTTTCTTTAATAGAATTGGTTTTATAATTTTTTAGATCAGAATCAAGTTTTTCTAACGTTTGTTGTGCTTTGCGATTGGTTGTTTCAATCCAATGATTGTCTAGAGGGGGAACTTTCACTGAGCTATTTGATGATGAAGAGGCCCTGTCAAGAAAACAACAAAGTTAAATATTAAAATTCAATGTAAGATAAAAATAGCTGAAGTGGAACTTGAATATGTATTTTTACATCATCCCCACCCCTGGAAAACCTTTTTTTCCAACCAATTTTTCCAACAGATTGTAAATATCAATGTGTGATATTGTATTGACAAGATATCAGTAGTAGGACAATCTTTGCTTTCAGTCTTCTTTGTCATTGAGAAATTGTTCCTAATTGCTATCTGCTTCAGTACCAGAGTAAGAGAATCCAAGATAAAAAAAAAAAGTTTTTTTTTTTAGCAATCTTTAACCTTTGTGTTTCCAAGAAAAACTGTGCATCAATAAAGCAGTTTTTCCCTTGACACTACTATTATTTTAACTACCTTCACTCCTCAGCAATGTTTATTTTTAAAAAGCAATGACTATAATTGTAATAAAACCTGAACATGGTGAAAGTGAATTTAAATATTTTTTTTGTTCTGTAGAATTTAAAAAAAAAAAAAAAAAAAATCATTATTTAAAGCTTCCCAAAATTTTTCTCTGGCCCACTAATTATGCATCTCTTAAATCTACAGCCCATTGACTAAATAAAGCAGAAAGAAATATAGAAGTCTCTGAATAGTGTATTTATGTTATGCATTTCAGGCATAACAGTCTGTGCAAATCCAAAACTTGGCTTTGGACATGGTTCTCTTGGATTGGTAACTTTTCAGTTTTTCTTCTAGTTCAGCAATTGAACTGAAAGTATCTCCAACCTAGAGTTTCATGGCTATACTGAATGAATATTGTTTAATTTATATATATAATTATTTATTCGAAAATTATAACATAAATATGTTATAAAATCACTACAAAAATAGCCATTTTGTTTCAACACTTCTGGTGTGTTCAACATCATCACTTGATAAGACACCAGAGGTGTTGAAACAAAATGGCTATTTTTGTAGTGATTTTATAACATATTCATGTTATAATTTTCGAATAAATAATTATATTTGCTCTACTCTGTATTGAGCACTCTTTTAAGAATAGTAATTGTTGGTTATTGGAATTTATTCGTATACACCAATCCTATACTTGTGTGTGTGTGTGTGTGTCTCTCTCTATATATATATATATATATATATATATATATATATATATATATATATATATATATATATATATATATATATAAATAAATGAAGAAATAAAATCCAGTGTCTTATATGCACGTGTTTATATCGTTGCTTAGAAATCATCCATGTAAACAGAAACAGACTATCATCACATTCTTGTCCGTGTATTGCTTAATATATTGTACTGTAATTGTCACCTTTGATAATGGCTTATGTAAGCCAAAAGCTAGGGATTGGATTAAAAAATATGTATCAATATTGTGATTTTCTCTCTTCGTTTAATGATAATGTTATTAAGCTTATCAGACGTTATGAAAAGAATTTACATAAAATAAATAGACAACACTTATCTATATTATTTAATGAAACATGTATAAATGAAAAAATGTTGCCTAAAATACACTATATATATATATATATATATATATATATATATATATATATATATATATATATATATATTTAAAAATATGATTCCAAAAATTTACATAAGAGGTCTCATGTTTCAAAACAAGAGTCGAAAACTTTCAATATAATCCTTTAAATTAAATTGAGTTGAAATTAAAATGGGCTCTGTTCCATCTTCAAGTGAAATTTTTGTTTTTAATTTCAACTCAATTTAATTTAAAGGATTATATTGAAGTTTTTGGCTCTTGTTTGAAACATGAGACCTCTTATGTAGCGATTTGGAATCATATTTTTAAATAAATAATTATATTTATGCTCTACTTTTGTATCGAGCACTAATTTTTAAAAAATAATAACTAAAATACTAAGGGACTTTGGATTTTTTACCTAACCAGTTCCTTCCTATTTTCTATATATTTTCACACATATATATATATATATATATATATATATATATATATATATATATTTGTGACTATTGCTAAGGCAGTATGTCTTGCTTGTTTCTGTTATGACAGAAGTTTACTTTTCAGTTAAAAAATAGTTACAACAGCTGGATTATCCTCTTTTTGGGGGTGTTTTCTGGTAGGAAAGGATGATGATAAAAATCACAATTTTTAACAAAAAATCCAGGAGAATTTTTGTGAGACTTACCAGTCATCATCCAGAAATGTAATCACATTAAAAACAAAATCATTGTCAAACCTGAAGTTAGACTTTCCCTTCACACGCAGTTCACATCGCAAGGGTGAGAGAAAGTGACTTAAATTTCCTTCAAAGTGAATTTTAACAAGATACAAGCATGTTTCCTTTAAGAATATGTACTAACATCTATAAAGTAAAAAGTCATGCAACTGAGCCATGTATAGGGAGAGGATCAGGTGCTCAGCACTGCAATGATCCTATGACCATACCCTGTCATGCGACTGAGGATAATAATTATTTAAAACTTCAATCAATATTTCTAGTTTGCATTTTCTTATTACAGGCATTAGTATATCTGTGCTGTAGCAACATTTTAATACAACAAACAGAACAGACTAGCTGGAAGAAAGGGATGATAAACATGCACTGTTCACAAAGAGATTTTTTATACTGCCATGTCACATAAGAAATTATATACAAATATATTGTGAGGCACAATAGTGGATATTGGCTCAGATTGAGGAATCGGCCAAGTTCGAATTCCAGTCAAATCCATTACATTCACTTACATGCTAATACCTTTGGGAAAGGTATTAATCCTCTTCTTCTCCCTCCACCTATGGGTAAATAGCAGGACAGAATGGGTTCTATAGCCTTGGATGGCAACTGGTATAGGAGAAGGGCAACTCTGAATTCAAAACCTGTGGAGGGTCATTTGGGGACCTTGTGACATGTAGTGCACCAGATCTCTGTATTCGGCCCTTCAAAAATTATGGTTGGTTCTGTACAAAGTCTTCACCACTATAATTAAATCATGTGCTGGTGTCTGGTTCTCAGTTCCTAGGAACTGAGCTGCTTGACCCTCATACATCAAATATGACAGGAGAGTCCATTATTTATATATATATATATATATATATATATATATATATATATATATATATGTGTGTGTGTGCGTGGTACTTATTAAAATGTGTTCAATATCAGTGATAGAGCTAATATACTTAGTTCTGTGGATATATATTTATTCGTAGTTCCAAAACACTATATTTACTGGCAAAACAGGCTATTCAATTTTTGAGTGCCATCTTTAAGTATACATCACATCCAGCAGACTTTTCTTTTTTTATCTCAATCTTCACAAACCAACAGGCACAGAACTGTGAAGATGCATTTTTGACAGGTCTTAGGATACACCAATTGCATATTCTGTAGAATGGGGAACACCACCACTCAGTCTGTGCCTGTTTTTGGGATTGTATATAAACAGGCTTGGTTTCTATTAGTGGAACCAAGTATTAACACAGCCAGTATCTACCAGTGGGATGAAGTAATAAAAAAAAAAAAAAAAAAAACAATGTATTCCAACATTAAGTAACCCAATGTAGGTTGTGAAACCCATCATCCCAACCCAAAACTGCCGGGGGGGGGCATAGTCTTGAAATTATTTATTTGAAGGGATACTCTCAAAGTCAGTATCTCTTTTAGAACCCACAGTCCCATTTCTACAAGGATATCTGCAACCCAATCCATTCCAGCTCTAGGGCCTTCTCACTGCTTTTGGAGGAAACCCTCCCATGTTGACTTCTACCTCTTATTTCTGGCCAGGTGAAGCTGAGGTATTGGGTCAGATCATCTTGCCTTTGTCTGCTCTGGTGTCCACTCAGTTGCTCTAATATTCCACCTGCTGTCTTCGAGACAAGAGATATTGCCAATCCATCTATATTTGCCCTTCTTGATAGTCTTGATTATGTCCTTGAAGGGCAACCCAATAAATCCACTGTAAAATCTTAGTCACCAGGGACATTCCACTTATTAAATCACCTGCAATAAATTTATCTAAACAAATTACATTCAAGTACAAAAATGTTTCTTTTCTTAAAACAAGCTCCACTCACATTTCTTGCAGCTGCTTGTATATTTGTTGATAAAGATTTGTGTCGTGTGTTGTCTGTACACAATCCAAGGCAAGCTGAAGAGTTTCCGTTTTCAGAGTTGGACAATGGTTAATAATGAAGAGCAGTCTGTTGAGCTTCACAAATCCTTCATAATGCTTGCTATAAGATTCCAGATCCTGCAGAAAATGCCAAAAATAATACAACAGTGATTTCAGTTTGGAAATTCAAACTTATCAATGGACAAGTTTCTCCAAACCAGTTTAATATCTGAGTCCCATAATAGTGATTAAAGTGTATGGAATTTTTTTTTTTTTTTAATCATTTCACCTCAGGCAAAGCAATAAAAGTTACTAAGATGCAAAGAGTTACTGAGTGTGAGAATATGAGAAAAAGAAAACATTATTAAGAGAAAGAACAATAAAAGAACAGGACATTATTTACATTGTTCAGACTATTGTCCTTATCTTTATGGTCATATTTATTACAACGTTTTGGCCATTGTATGCTCCGGCCTTCTTCAGCTGGCTGGAATGTCGAACTGAATCCTTTATTTCGCTCACTGGGGTAGATTGTTCTAGATCCATGTGCCATGTTTAATGGATGTCGGTTATCTCCCAGTAATTTCCTCTGAAAGTTCTGCATTGCCTTAACTGGGTATTGAACTCGCAGTCTTTAGGTCCTGTCACTGGATCTAACTAACGCCAAGGTCACACGGCACAGTGGATAAAGGCGTTAGTTAGATCCAGTGACAGGACCCAAAAAGTGTGAGTTCAATACAGAGTTAAGGCAATGCAGAACTTTCAGAGGGAAATTAACAGGAGATAACTGATAACTGAATCCATTAAACATGGCACGTGGATCTAGAACAATCTACCCCAGTGAGCAAAATAAAGGGTTCAGTTCGACATTCCAACCACCTGAAGAAGTCCGGAGCGTACAACGGCCGAAACGTTGTAATAAATATGGCAACAAAGATGAGGACAATAGTCCGAACAATGTAAATAATGTACATATTACCGTAATAATAATGTACATAATACTATCTCAGAAATATAGATATATACAAAAGAACAGGAATTAAGAAGACTGTCGGAAATTAAAATAATAAAAATAAACATTGTTTATGTACAAAATTCTGATAGCACTTGACTAAAAGTTAAAAAAAAACCATTATTAGTGCAATTCATGTATTATTCTTTTTTGTTTACATATAACTGTACTTTTTATTGTAAATGAAGTTTCTCTTTCTGATTTCTATAAACATTGAGTGGTTGTCGTCTGTTTCTTTCACAGTTTTGCTTATATTGTTAGCCTTCATATCAAACTTGTCACTTGTTCCCGAATGGGAGAAATTTCACGATAATACACTACCAAGTTGCCTCCCTTTAATTGGTTGTTTCTCGTATTGTCCCATAAACTTTTAGGATCACAGCTATCAACTTCCAATTTATTTTTTCCAATAAAAGAGAAGAAAACAATTGGCATGCCATTGCATTTAAATTTTTGAAGCTGGACGAGAGTTACACAAGCAAGAATGTAAGAGGGAAAGAACATTTGTCCTGAAATGTTACATTTGCAAATACAAAACTCAATTAAAATGGAGTAGCTTATTAATTCTGTTTTGAAATATCAATTTAGAAAGACCATTGAACTGTTATGTAATATTTGCCTTCCTATGTGGCTGTGAATCTTCTCAGATAAAAAGACCTGAGACAACAGAAATGTGGTTCTACAGAATACCATGTAGTGAACATAGCAACACCAAAGTTTTACATGGAAACAAAAGGAACACTTAGGATCAGAAAGAGACAGTTAAAATTTTTAGGGCATGTAATAAGGAAAGAGGGCTTGGAGAATTTAACACTCAAGGATATATTGAAGGCAAGAGAGAAGTATTAAAGCAGCAAATAACTTATCTAATAAGCTTGTGTAAATAGTTGGCAAAAAAGGAATTCTGAAAGATAGTAAGAAGACAAACCTTATTAAGAGCTATAAACGAAAGGAAGTTGTGGAGGACCATGAACAGCCACGTCCTAAAGGGACACGGCACATCAAAGAAGAATTTAGAGAAACATTTACATTTTAGCATGGAAGTGTGGAAATAAAATCAGTTTAAGCTCTATGAATCATCATCTGAGAGATCCCCCCCACATTCTGCCTTCCATCAGCATGGCTAATGCTAACCTCCAGAAAAGTGACCTGTTGCACCCTCTTGGGTTAATGTTCTCAGCTGACATAAAATGGAAAGACCATATGGAATCCATTGCTAGGTCAGCTGCTAAGAAAGTTGGTTCACTGTGTTGGGCCAAATAAGTTTTCTCTCTAGAATTTATCTTATATATCTATAAGTCTATCATTCATCCAGGCTTAGATTATTGCTGATACATATGGCCTGGTGCCCCTGCTATTTACCTTGAGCACCTTGATAAGATCCAAAGAAGAATCAGCAATATTATTGGTCCTGATCTGGCAGCTCAGCTTCAGTCACTTTCCCACTGCCATAAAGTTGCCTCCCTGTGCCTTTTCTATAAATACTTTTATGGTAATTGTTTGGATGAGCTCTTCACTATGATGATTAGACTATATGAATTTAAGCACAGTACTACTAGGCTGGTATAGAGATCTCATCAATTTACAGTTGAGTTGGGTAGATGTAACTGTAAGTTCTATGCTAACAGTTTCTTTTCTTCCAGCTCCATGCTTTCCAGCCAACTTTAATCTGCAAAAATTTAAATGCAATGTCAATCACTATCTACCGTCCTCCTGATTACTCTTTTCTCTCATCATTAATGTTTCTGTTTCTAATTATTCCACACCCTGCAACTCCTTGTGCCTTAGTGGACTATTTTGCTTAAGGTAGCAACCAGTCTTGGAGAAGGAAAAATCTGAATTCAAAACTATGATCACAGTATATAGGTTACCTCAATAATCTGGAGTAGGGGTACCCCAGTAATCTTAATTGGAGGTATCAGACTTGTGATGTTTCCAGATTACATATTCCCACTTATTTTCTTTTTTTGGCATTTAAAATTGCATCAAGATTATACTGAATGCTGTCCAGTAGCTGATACTGTCATCGACCTACAACTTGTTATATAGGAATAAAGTGCCACTGCCGACATTTAAGTTTGAACATAGATCACAAGTGAGCAAATACAGGCAATCCCATTATTGAATAAAGCGGATCACATGACCATAGAGGAAACACATATATGTAGGAAATAGCTGAAGTCTAAAGGATCTTTATTTCTAGTCTATACTCTATTGCTATATGGACCGCTATTCTCTATTCTATTCACTATACCATTTCTCTATTCAGACCACTATATGGATTACTTGTTGAGCAAATATTATCGAGCAAGTGTGAGTGATATTCAAAGGTGTCTGACACCAGTATTGTTCAATGGTGTACTATAGTTGTATCTGCAATGACAAAGTCTCTACAAGAACAAGCATTACGAAAGTGACAACAAGTATTCATTGACATCACAAACCAATTTACATCTGTTTGACTTAATCATGGTAGTGAATTGGTATGTGTGGCAATATGAGGGTTTCCCAGTTTGGTGTACAACAATTTCCACACCAGCTCCTGCTAGCACTAACATTCTCTTGCACAACTCAAGCCCAGTGTTAGGGCGCATTGGTACAACCCCCAGCCAGTCCATTTGTGCTTTAGATCCCCTACACCAAGCTGATATGCTTTGTATTTGTATGCATTTTTGTGTTTTGCAATTGATTTGCACCTGTATTTTATCTGGCAGCATGAGGGTTTCTTAGCTTGGTGTACAATTTTGACACTAGTTCCTGCTAACATTCCATTGCAAGCCTCAAGCCCAATGTTAGGGCAGCATCAGTAGAACCCTGCACCCAGACCATTTGCGCCTTAAATTTCTATTGAAGAAACCAAGTATCAACAGCTAATAAAATGTTTTGTATTTTGACAGGTTTTGCAACTAATTTACTTCTGTATTTTGTTTCTTTGTAGGTTTAGCAAATATTAAACCAACTGTACTGTAGTACCCATGTTTGACTTTGATGAAACCTGACAGACGTAAAAATAAGAAATAAAACAATGTTTAGAGAGATGATACAAATGATATCAAACAAAGAATCTGTAAAACTTCTAAAAAATACAATAAAATAAGAAATAAAACAATGTTGAGAGAGATGATACAAATGATATCAAACAAAGAATCTGTAAAACTTATAACAAATACAATACCAAAAAGAAAAAGAAAATGATTGCAAAATTACAGGCCGACTTACAACCAGACTGATTTGCAACATGTCAGTTGTAACTAATTGCGGTTGAAAGTTGATGATGACCTGTATTTAGAATGTTTTAACAGATACTCAAATGCAGCATTTTGAGTATTATTAGAGGTCAGAGGTAACAGGGTCAGGTCATAAATTCTACTGGCTGCTTTTTTTTTTTTTAAAGAAATCCTGACACTAATGAGGTTTTAAACAGTTCTTTTCAATTCATTCTTGAGGATCTGTTGGTTGGTTACTTTTTACCCATTTTATATGAAAATGCAATAATTCATGGTTAAAGACTTAACTCTATGCTATTGTTTAGACCAGTGGTTCTTAACCGGGGTGCCATATGCCACAAAGGGGGCCCCAGTAAATTTTATGGAAACCACAGAAAAATTTGGGGTTTTGGGAGATCACAAGTTCAGTGAAATGAGCCACAGTGCTACAACCATGTTACCCTCTATATTTCAGTTCTAATAAACTTCAATTATGTAATTGTTGTATCCTTAAAGAAAGTTACAGACAAAGGTAGTACTCGAGTGAAAGGAACAGCAACACAGGTGTAGATGAAAGAAAGAGAGGTTTATTGTAAAAGAGAATACACTAATGAAAAACACGCAATCAGTTAGCAGGCTAGTAATTTCCAAAGCAAGGTTATTTACCTTACCTCCCTATGAGGCAGGATGTGACACAAGACCGTTTTTAATGCGGTGTTAAAACCGAGCTTGAGGGCTTGAGCAAAAATTCCTTGTAGACCCCGTAAAAAACGGGGTTGGGTAGCTGTCTACCACCCCAGACGAGAGACTGTCCTTCGGCATAGCCTCGTCTGGGTTCCTCTCCGCCTGAAGGCAATGAGTTCAACTAGCGTAGCTGGAGACGAATCTCCAACTAATTGGCAAAGCAAGTCCCAGGTATATTCTGTGCACACTATATATATCTACTGATATAGTCAGTCCACAATAGACAATAGGGAGAGTGGGACATTCCATTACAACAGTAATAAAATAATTTTCAGTGTCTTATGTTTATAGTGTGCATTTATGTAAGCCTGATGTGCAGAATGTTTTTTTTTTATTTTGTATAACTTTATTTTTAATTTTATTTTGCATAACTTTTTAAATTTGTACATTTATATACAGAAATGTTTTTCAAAATAACATTATTTCATTTAACTGGTTCAGTTTTAAAGTTCATATGGAGAAATATCTCTGTTTATTTCTTCCAGAAATTGTAAAATATGCTTTTGCTAAATTAAATGGCTAAGAGCGGGGGTGTCATCAAAAGAAAAATGTTGAAAACGGCTTGTTTAGACAATAATGCTGAAAATGATCTTCTGAAGGTATGTCATCCATTATTTAACCCAATTAATGGATATCAATTCTCACAGTCTGCTTTTAATTCATTTGTAACGTTTTATTGAATATTTATGCTGGGGTTATTATATAAAGAAAATATATGTAAAATGTTTTAGTTGTTTCTCTCTCAGTAATACTTCATTAGACACACTCTATATATGAATAAAGTCTGCTCTAATCATGCATGACGAATTACAACTATGTTATGGCTAATGTCCTGGTTATTATTACTCTTTGAACAATCTTAGAAAAAAATCATTTTTTAAATGTTAGATTCTTTTTCAGTAGATATTTTTCAACAAAACAAGAAGTAATTACATAAAATAAAATCAACAGATCAGAACCACCTGTCAAACCTTCCTACAATGCTTATTTTGATGTTATTTATGTGAAAAACTGAAAATTGAATTACTGCTTTTTTTCTCAACTTACCAGAGTGGCATTTTCAACGGTAAACCCTTTTTTACCATTGTCTTTTTCCTCAGCAATTACATCCACCTGCATTGGTTCTTCCAATGCCTGACAGAGCAAAAAGAAAAATACATATACTGAACAGTCACTGATATATATATTTCTATTACTTCTAACATTATTATCATGGATACTATTTGAAATAGACACTATTTTTACTTTTACTTTAAACTGCATATCACAGAGTTTATTGATCTGTCCTGCATATTTGAAAAATGCTAATGAAGAAAATGTGTTCTCTGGCAGGTCTCAAAATAGTGTTCCACTTTGTAAAGAGAAACTCCTGTTTGATCCAGTATGCTTTAATGAGTGACCAATTTACTTATAGACAAGAATGTACTCCAGCCCAGGGGTCCAGAGACTAGAGGACCCCTCTAGTCTTGGACACCTGATAAAACTAAAAAAAATAAAAGAGGAGATTTGTGTATTTTCAAATTTAATGTGGGAAACAATTTAGAGTATTTGGGCTGCTCTAGTTGGAGTGGGTCTTTTGTATTTGATAGCCTCCCCCAATCTAAAAATTTCTTGTTTTGTTTTTATAGATGGAGTTGGAGGGACTTAAGTAATGAAGGGGTCCCTAAATTGTATCAGTCCAGGCATCTTTTAAGGCCTAAATCCTACACTAGATTTACCATTACAGATAATGTCAGAGGCCTGGGATAAATTTTTAGCATGTTCACACTTGATATTGCATAATATTTTTACTGAAATATCATCCAGGAATTTTTCTTTACATAACACGAACCATAAAAAAATTTTATAACAGAATCACAAATTAAGAAATACACGTAATATAAAAAAGGGGGGGGGGGTACCCAATTTTTTTCACTAAATTTTCTAACAAAATAACCTATTTAGTATACAAATCATCCATTTATGAATAAGTACTGAAGATTTTGGTTGAATTAGATAATTCCCTGACTTTTAGCAAAATGGAGTAGTTATTTCTTGCTTTCATTGGAGGGGGAGGCGGGGGTGAAGCATTCATTTTGGTGATACCTAGTTTTTATCAATCCCCCCCACCCAATTTTCTTTTTTATAGCACTTCCTTTAGGTTAATAAATTTTTAAATATGGATAGTTAAAAATAAAATCAACCTCACTGAGTACAATTCAACTTTTTCTGATATCAAATAGTTGAGAAAATAGTAAGAAAATAAATGCAATAAACAAAACTCAAACGTACAAATTTAACTATCTTTTAATTTTTTTTTTTATACAATAATTTTGCAGTATAAGAATTTAATTTAGATGATTCATTCTACTAAATTATATATATATATATATATATATATATATATATATATATATATATATATATATGTGTGTGTGTGTGTGTGTGTGTATATATATGCCATCCACACTGACACGGTTTCACAGCTCATCTGTGTGACAAGACATCAGCTATAGATAAAAAAGGTACTTTGATTAATTTTTATTTAATTTTTCTTGTGTTACAAGTATTTTCTCTATTCTGGACGCAAAGTGTGTAAAAACTGCCCAAAAGTTCTGTAGCACTTCTGGCTATACGTTTAGCCATTATCAAGGATGATTTTATTTTACTTTTAACTGAATGTATGGATTGTGTTATGTATTTATCTTGAGTTACACGGATGTTTTATTTTTTACTTGGAAATGCAGAACTTTTGGACAGTTTTTGCTCACTTTATGTCCCGAAAAGAAAACACATGTCACTTGTACGAACAAAAGAAAAATTAAATAAAAAGGTCAATCACAGTACCTTGTCAGTCATCTTTAATGTAACATGTATAAAAGGAGGGTTGCTTCCTGAATACACACACGTGTGTGTGTGTGCAAATATATTGATAAAATAGTAAAGAACCATTAGATTGATGATCCGAAGTTCTTTAGTATTTTCGTTTTCATTTTTAAAAAACAGTGCCCGATACACAAGTAGTTTCAAAAACAGAAGCTAAAATCTTCCAATTCAATTATAGAAATTAAATTAAAGCCCCTAGTTCTGTTTCATTTTCAAGGGAATTTCGCATGAAAATGAAACAGAACTAAATACTTTTAATTTAATTTCTATAATTGAATTGGAAGTTTTAGCTTCTGTTTTAAAACATGGTAATTCCTGTGTAGCGATGGGAATTTAAAACAAAAATATTTAAAACAAAAAATATATATATATATATATATATATATATTCGTAAATGAAATTTTAATGAATGATTTCAGGAAAGAAGGGGGGAAAAAATGAAGCAATACTTCGTGCTAAAATTTTTAGTTATCTCATTCTCATGTTTGCGATTGCCACAAGATGACTAAGTTTTTTTCTCATTTTTATTTTAAATCAACGAAAATAGCGGCAATTTATTCATAAAACATACACACCCCTTTCGAATTTCGCAGCCTCATTGTAAGACTTTGTAAAAAAAAAAAGTTTAAATTTAAAATTAAAAATAAAATGAAAAAAAAAGAAGAGAGCTTCGCATATGATGCTATTTTTTGTTTACGGAAAATGCTTTATTTGAATAAAAATAAAAAGAATTAACAAAATCTGTAAATTAAATATCAAAAAATAAAATTTTACAACTAACTTTGACAAAAAAAGACTCAAAGAAAAAAAGTGTTTTGTTGCTGCTTTTGCAGAATAAATTGTCAAAAAATTTCAAAATGTTCTTATAATGAAGAAACTGCATTGAATGTGAATTGATAAAATAAAAATTTAAAATAGGAGTTAATTAAATATATTTTTAAATTAAAGTATAAAATTTTGAAAATAATGAATACTTAGTTTTTAGTAGCGTAGTGTAAAAATTCATCATTTTTATTTTAAAGTAAATTAACACGTGTTTTTTTTTGTAACATTCATCCAGTTTGTTTTTCTTTCTACTTTACTCCAATATTAACGTTATTTTTTTTCATGTTTGACCACAGGACACACGTCAATAATATTGGGAATTTTGTAATATTCTGGTTTTAACATTTTCTGTATCTTTTTTGGTTTTATTTTTTACAAGGTAGATGCGGAATTGTTTCTGTGAAGTTTTTTCAGAAATTTGTTTCTCATTTGTTGAGATAAACACGTTCTCCGCCAAAAGCGTAAAAATAAATATTAAACAGGCATTAAACACACAAACTATTTATTTCCACTAAAAATAAGTTGAAATTTTAAATGATTATGTTTAAATAAAAATGACATTAATAAAAGAAAGTTGCTGAAAAAGTAGCAAAAATAAAAAAAAAATGATCTTGCTTTTTTACTTTGACTTCAATGAAAGAAGCGAGAAATTCAAAACTCCCGCTCTTTGAGAAATAATTGGTCGTTCAAATCTATTTTTCAGGTTATAAAGATAGAAAACGGAGAAATGTTAAAATTTCGAATAAAACAAACGGATTTAAATAAAAATGATGTTTAAAAAAAAATACCTGACAAATACTCGGGTACGGCATCTTCCTTACTTTGTTAACTTGTGAAGAGGGGAACACAAAAAAAAATTAGCAGAAAAAAAAAAAAACGGAAGTAAATAAATGCGCATGTAAAACACTGTCGGAAGTTAACTTCTTAGCTTTTATGAACATAAAGAAAAAATAAATGTTGTCAATTATTATAATAATGATGATGAACATCATCATTTTATATACTGCCATTGTTTAATTAATTATCATTATCATTACTGATAATAGTAGTAGTAGTAGTAATGCTGATGATGCCCAGATATTATATTTGATTTGTTTGTTTAACGGAATATCAACACTTTATGGGTCATTTAATGCTGAAATTTAATTTCTTTGGGTGCTTTGAAGTAATAAAAATATAATATGTTATTTTGCTTTCATAATAGAATACATGGTAGATGATACTCAGCTTTTGTGCATGATTGTATGAACATAATTTGGTGGTGATATGTGTGTTTTATGTTGTCGTTTTGTTGATGTTATTTTGGAATAAAGTTTGATTTCTTTAAGAAATTGTATGATAATTAAATGGATTAACATTATGAAAGAGGTCTTTCCTGTTGGTTGTTTGGGTGAATTTGTTTATTGGTATATCAACCTCTATGGGTTATCTAAGTATTTTGAACACAATTGTATGCCTTCAACTAAATATATTTGGAATGCAATTGTATGCCTTCAACTACAGATAAAATGTGTTATTGGTCATTTTGTTATAAAATGTAGTGGTGGTAATTTTACTAGAAATAGGTATTGTTGGTATTTTTTATATAAAAATGTATTTCTGATAGTTTTACTATAAAAATGTATTTTTATACTTTTATACTGTTTTATTTTGTTTCGAGGTTCACTATTTGCCCATAGCTGGGACCCTAACAGTTGCTACCACCTCGGGTTGCCTGATATTATACCAGGTACAACACTCATGTCTTCTGATCTTAATTGATTGTCACTGCTAACATGTACATTTTTTTCTTGGTGAATTAAGATGGGCTACAGTAAATATCCAATTCAATACCCCACATTTGTTTGTCAGTTGCCTAACCATAACCAACTGGACATGTCCCCTAAGAGGCTAATGCACTACACATTTCTGTACCTGAATTAGTGGTGGACTATCATAGCTGAGTGTTGAGAGATTTATTTTTTAAGTTTGCAGGATGAGGCAGCCAAGGCAACTTGGGTGTCGCATCTAGATATTTGGATACTTTCCATTGGAGACTGTTTCAGTGGACTGGGTTACGTGACTTAAAGGTATTTCTAATTTGGCCCTTACATGTAATATTATACACTGATTTTATGAAAACCTGTCACCATAGCATATACATTTGGCTGTGATGCATGTGCATGGTATACCACCATCAAATTGTGATGCATATATTAGGACTTGTTCATTATCCATTAATGCTGATATACCTTTTCACATGCTAGTTGTTATTTACTAAGCTTAGCTTAGTTTTATCACAAGGCTACAAGTATGATCCACCCAGTGAGGATGGCCAAATAGTCTAGATCACTAACTATCATTCACCATACAATCACAGAAGTTAAGCAATGTCAAGCCTGGTCAGTACCTAGATTACTGATGCTTGGGAATACCAGGTGTTGTAAACTTGGATGTGCAGATGGTGTAATGGATAATGGCTCAGAATTGTTAATTGGAGAGCAGAGTTCCAATTCAAGTTGGATTCATTATATTCATTTATGCATAAAATACCCTTGGGAAAGATATGAACATGTCATCAGATGAGTTGATGTTGAAAAGAAATTGAATTTCACAAGCCAGGTTGATGTTAATAAAACATAACTTTTAGCAAGGATGTTGGGTTTCATGGATTTGTGTGATAAGTTGATTATTTGAAGGACTCACTGACTAAGTCGTGTTGAATTTTCATATTTATGAATTTTCTTGATCACGAAAGAGCTTGAGAACATTTACATTTTTTGTGTGCATTGAACTATGAACACGTTAACTCGAGGTCAACCTTGTGAATGCATGCAGAAACATGACATTATTATTTATGGACCAATCAGAAAGCTTTATTTTGTACTGAACTCTTGAGTTGATTTTAATGGGTTCAGCACAAACTGAGAATATTTAGCTGTGATCATCTTTTAACAGGTTTAAAATAGAGACTGTAGAAATCTAATTCTACAGTCTTGACCTGGCATCTCAGCTTCAGTCACTTTACAACCACCATAATGTAACTTCCCTGTGCCTTTTCTATAAATATTTTCATAGTAATTTTGTTTTGATGAGCTTTCGTCTTTGGTACTAAGATCTTCATGAATTTAAGTGCAATACTAGATTGGCAACAAGGTCTCATCATTTTACTGTAAATTTTATTCTAATACCTTCTCTTGTACTTCTCAACTGTAGAACTTGTTGCGGCGTTAAGCAGGTGCTGTTAACCCTGCAAGCAGAAAAATTATGTAGGGTAATACAATCAAAGCAAGGACAACAAAGGCGAAGGATTTCAAAATCTAAGCCAAATTTTATTTAATAATCTGGCAAAAGTATGTACAGGAAATTTGGAGTTGTTCAGACGTGAAATCGGAGAGTGCCAGTCAAAGTATCATTTGTTTTAGTTCAGGGTGGCAGCTCAAAGCAGGCAGATGGGAAATGCTGTATCTGATGTCCAGATTGATCCTTGGATGTTCACCCATAAGAGGACCGTGTCAGCGTTTACGAAGAGAGACGATCGTAGTAGGCAGTGCCAAGGTAACCTGTTTGTCCTTAAGAGGGCAGTCGCATACGAATGTGGTTTGGTAGTCCTTAGAAGGACTATTGCATATGAATGTGGTTTGGTAGTCCTTAGAAGGATTATCACATATGAAGGTGGTTTGCGCTGCTGCTGAGTCTGACTGGGAGCGACTGGCTTCACTGGTGGAGACAGCTGCTGCTGCTAGGTTTGGCTTCTTCAGTGGTCAGCAACGAGGGTCATCCAGGTGAGGGGGGGTGCGTAGCTCTACCCCAGGAGCTGTCTTATTTAGTGGAAGAAATCAGCTGTATTTATTTCGGCCATGGTTAGCATCGTTGCCTGGTTAACAATATCTTTTGGTTGTCAACTAAAAATTGACTTCCACATTTTGAATGTACACATGGGTTTCATTTGGACACCATGTGTATATAAATTAGTTTTTGGTCATTATTTTTAGTTGTGTATGTTTATGTTTCATTTTATTTTCCATTTTTGTGTTTCAATTTCTGAAAACGCTGAGTCACGGGAAATTAACAGCATTTGAACTGTTTTCTGTGGTGACACTTTCAGATGTTTGAGTAGCCAGCAGTAACTTCCGGCCAGGTGCGATAAACTTTCTTCCTGCTTTTTGCCTTCCTATCATCTAGGATCTTTAAAAAAATTTTGGAATCTCAGTAACATCTTAGTGGCTTGGTCATCTTACTCGGAGGGAAATGATTAAAAAAATATCATTTTTGTTTCTTTTTTTAGTACTGCTTAGTTATTTTTCACTCTGCTTTCACTGAGTCTGAGGTTTATCGCCATATCACATTGAAACACCAGTTCTTGTATGACCACCAAAGTTAAGCAATATTGAGTCTGGTCAGAATCTAGATGGTTAAGCATTTGAGAATACCAGGTGCTGTAAGCTTGGATGCAGGTGGGGTAATAGATAATTTCTTCTTTTACATGCCATGTCCCGTCAGAACATTGTGTAGTCATGGCTTTCATAATTTCCTGTCTTTTGTAATGCAGTAAATCTCTCCTAATTGCTGACACAAGATTGTATGGTCACCAAAGTTAAGCAATGTTGAGTTTGGTCAGTATCTAGATGGTTGAGCACTTGGGAATACCAGGTGCTGTAAGCTTGGATGCAGGTGATGTAATAGATAATTTTTTCTTCTATGTGCCATGTCCCTTCAGGACATTGTGTGATCATGGCTTTCCACAATTTCCTGTCTTTTGTAACACAGTAAATCTCTCCTAATCACTGACACAAACTCATTTGGTATGTTATTCACTGCTTTACTCTCTCCCTCTTGCTTTAATATGTTCTGTGAGTGTTAAATTTTCTAAGCCTTCTTTCCTCATTATGTGTCCTAGAAGTTTCAAATCTCTGATTTTAAGTATGTGTCTTTTTTGTTTCCAATTTCTCTGAAACTTCGACATTGCTCACATGTTCAGTCCATGTTTTTCTCAGCAGCCTTCTGTTGAACCACATTTCTGTTGCTTCAAGTTGCTTCTTCATCTGTGATGAGATTGTCCAGTATTCACTACCATATAGAAGGACTGATATGACATAACATCTCTAGTTCATCTCTCTTTTCTTTGTTTCTTAATACTTTTCTTAGCTTTTTCAAGGCATCTTTCACTATCCAATGTGTCTTCAGAGTTTTGGTGTTGCATTTTCCATTATAACAAAGCCCCAACTTAGCAGCTGGATATCAATCTTATAAATAACTTTTTGGGGTCTGTCTATATTTCTGAGATGAGGTATTCTGTACAGTATTTACATTAGTCAGACTATTGTCCTCATCTTTGTCGCCATATTTGTCACAACGTTTCGGTTCAGTTCGAAATTCCAACCACCTGAAGAAGGCCGGAGTGTACAACGGCCGAAACGTTGTGACAAATATGGCGACAAAGATGAGGACAATAGTCCGACTAATGTAAATACTGTAAATAACTTTTTATTTTATTTTTTTTGGATGATAGTATCAAGTTCTGTTACTTTGTGGAAAAAACTACCAAGAGGATTCTTCCCCACCCACTACCATCTTAACCTCTTCATGCCTACTGTCAACCATTATCTAGTCTACATATTCTCATAAAGTGCACTTCTTACTTCCTTCCTTTATATTGTTACAACAACCTCATTCAATAACCCACTACACAGAGTGTCTCTTTGGCCTTTCGTTGGGTGAAAAATAGTATTAAAAAAACTTCTATTTGTCTATTTTTATTCATACAGATTCAAATAAGCAGCCCTTCCAACAAAATAAACATACTAGCTTTCAAAGCTGAAAAGAAAAAAAAAGAAATAGTTTGCTTTCAGTTATAGATGCACCACTGATTTTCTAGCAATATATGGTTCAGTGCCTCTTTTAATATGGACAAAACCACAAGCAAGTATTTAAATTTTCCAGATGAATTCTATTATTTAATTCACATATAATTTATAGATAATTGTTCTACAAGAATAAAATATCTGTAGAAATTTCCCTATCACATCATTAAATATTTGAGCTTAACAACTTTAACAAAATATTGCAATAACAACCATAAATATGAATACTGGTCATTATTTTAAGAAGTCAGGGGGTACAAATAAAAAAAATTTGAAGAAACAGATGTTAAACACATCTATCTTTTCTTATTATTTACACAATTTACATTGTTTGGACTGTTGTCCTCATCTTCATTGCCATATTCACAACATTTCGGTTCTCAAGGACACATGGCCCAGTGGATAAAAGCATTGGTTGAATCCAGTGACTTGACCCAAAGAGTTGTGAGTTCAATACTTGGCTACAGGTGAGGTGAACAAAAAAGCTGGAGAGTTAAGTTAAAGGGAAATAACTGATACTGTGACATCTGGAAGAGGCATGTCATGTGGAACTAGAACAATCTATCCTTGGTAAAGAAAATATAGGGTCCAGTTTGAAATACCAATCACCTGAAGAAGGCCAGAGCGTACAACATCTAAAATGTGAATATGGAAAGGAAGATGTGGACAGCAGTCTGAACAATTTAAATAGTGTAAATAATTACAATACCTTTTCTCTTCTTTCATTCATTCATTTATTTTCTCAATGAAACCAAGTAATGTCACTTATATGTCTTTTTGATACATCCACTCAGTCAAAACAGAATAGTCAATTACTTATGAAGTATTAGCAGGACTAAGTAAGAGAAATACATGCAGAATTATAAGATAATAGTTCAATATAAGTCCTTAATAGTTAATCATGCTGTTGAGATACAAATGTTGCCTACTTACTGTGTTAGAGGGGAATTATTGAATTGTTATCATGTGACTTCTGTTAGTCTAGTAAAACAGATAATCGAGCAAGATTCTGGAAGCAAGAGTACTGGTGAATTGCTGATGTAACTATAAAAATAAAGAAAATAAAATAAAACACATCTGTATTTAAAATATGTTTACTTTTATGCTTACTTTAAGACAGTAGTTCCCAAACTTTTTTCCTCTGGGCCGCATTTTTGGAATGAAAATTTGCTCAAACCTCACCAAATTTCATGTGATAAAAAGTACATTTAAAAATTAAAAAACAGAGAGAGAAGGTTAAAGGGAGATAACTGTTCAAAGTCAGAACATTATCACTGATAACTCTCTCCTCCTATTTGCAGATCCTAGTTACAATATTCTTAATACTTAATAATAATACTTATAATGTAAAAATGTCACAATGATAAAATTGGTCAATAATTATTTATAACTATTTATACTGGGAATCATGCATGCAATTACAAGTAATCCATAATAATATTTTAAATTTTGAACTCATTTATTTTTGGCATATGAATTTTTTGAAACTGTTTTTAAGTCTTTGATTGTCTTTCAATCATTCCACCTCATTTGCTATTCTCTTCTGTTGTACCTATGAGGTGCGCCGTGCCATTTGGGAACCACTGCTTTAGGACTTTTACACTTTGTTTTTATTACATTTTGTGATTAAATAACCAGGTACCATTCCAACATTACACAAAATTTTTTCTAAGCATGTTGTAGCAGGGGCATGTTGAGATCATGTTGCGGTCACCAAATGTTACAGGTACTACGTATTGGTGGCCACAACAACATAAGATATACACATGACACAGCATTGACAACCGACACAAAAACGCAATTACAAGAACTCCTACAGAAGGTAGTGAAGGAAAGCAAGAAAAAAGGACTGAATATCAATTGCAAGAAGTTGTTAGTAAAAGGAACAACCCAATATGCAAATTACAAATACAAAACTCAAACAGGTGCAACAATTTAGATATTTGGAAAGTGTATTAATAGGGGGGTGGAAAGTGTGGCGCAGAAATCTGAAGGCACATTAGGATAGCAAAAGATGTCTTTCAAAATCTGAGCAAAGTATTAAGAAATAGAAAAAAATATTGTTAGAAACAAAGAAAAGAATACTGAATAGCATTGAATGTATGACAATCTCCTCAAAGATGAAGAAGAGACTTGAAGCAAAAGAAATCTGATTCTACAGAAGAATGCTGAGAGACACATGGACTGAAAATTTGAACCACAACAAAATTCTAGAGAAAATGCAACAAAAAGGACACATACTTAACACCAGGAAAAGATCATTGAAATTTCTGTGGCACATAATGAGGAAAGTGGAAAATTTGATACTCATAGGATAGATTAAAGGTAAGAGAGTTAGAGGAAAACATTGCATAACCTACCTGGTGAGCTTGAGTGAATAGATAGCAGAGCAGGATCTGGGTAGGAACAATAGTAAAAAAACAAAAGTTATTAAAGTGGGCAGTTGAATTTACAAGGGAAATGGAGAGTCTAGATGATGACCTGAGGGTTGGACATCCTGCAACTGCTACCACCAAGGAAAACATAGATTGTGTTCACAACATGGTGATGGGTGACAGGTGATTGGCTATAAATCAAATAGCCAGTGCTATTAACATATCACGTGAGAGAGTTGAGAATATTCTGCACAATGAACTTGGCATGATGAAGGTTTTTGATTAAAAGTGTACACTGATCACATCACAGGAAAAGCTGACATCGTTTGAGGCAGATTCCACTGGTTTCCTTGAACATTTCCTAATCCAGGATGAGTGTTGGGTTCATCATTTTGAGGCAGATACAAAGAGACAATCCAAGTAGTGGAAATGCCCCTTCTTACATGCTCCAAAGAAATCCAAGGCCATTTCATCTGCAGGGAAAGTGAAGGCCTCAATTTTTTAGGGATGTAAAATGCATTGGGTTTATTGACTATTTTCAAAAGTGCCACACAATCATTGGAGAGTATGATGCAAATTTACTGAGGCAGTTATGAAAGTCTATCAAGATGAAACACCTAAGAAAACTGACAAAAGGAATCTTGTTACACCAGTCTTCGGTTTCAATGACTGCTGTGCATCATTGTGGCTTTGAACTGTGTTATATTCCGTGCTAAGAGAATAAATACTTAACACCAGGTGGATAATAGAAGAAAGGTTTATTGTATAGAACCAGTACAATATGAAATACAGTACAGTTATACACATAGGTCAGTCTAGTAGTGAGTGCCACTAATTGAAAGGTCGGGCGTGCTTGCATCTTCTCGCTCTCACTTTTAATATTTAACAGCCCCCCCCTTCTCCCACTAGGGATGTATGTAGCACAAGGCCGAGTTTACCGTGGGTTCTCTGAGCCCGTAGGCTCAGCCAAAAATATTCCATTAGAACCCGCATAAGTGGGTTCAGGGTCTGTCTACCTCCTCGGATGAAACTTTGCTCTTTGGCAAAGCCTCGTCCAGGTTTCTCTCTGCTCAAGGCAAAGAGCTTGACAGTGAAGAACAGGAGAGAGCACTATTCTTGCTCTCACTCTTCCTTGAGTCTCTCGTAGACAGTTGACTTTATAGTTACTTACTACCTATAGTGTAATCATTCATGGGGGTGACTGGTTATTCCATTACATCAAACTGGTTGATCACCCTTCCTATTCTCCTGATTTGGCCCCATCTATCATCAGTACACCAACACAAAAAAAACACTTGGCTGGGAACCAGTATCACAGTGATTATGACATCAGATCTACTATTGATGACCATTTTGACCAACAGCATGAAAGCTTTTTCACCAATGGGATCTAAGCACTGCAACACCAATGAAAGAAGTGTATGGACTGCAGAGGTGGACTGTATTGAAAAATAAACTTCATTCTGTTACATTCCATGAGAAAATATCTTGAACAGCCTATCAACTTCATCAGAAGTATATCAATCCAGGTAAGCTGTAAGGCATTTTTAATTGAACCCATTATTTAATCTATGGGGAAGATTTCTCATTCTACTGTCCATGTCTCGGCTCAACAGTCCAAATATAAACAGTTGGTTGGACATTTATACAACTCCTTATTATCCAGTTGTGTGTGTATATCCTAAGTTCAAGTGGGTTGACTTCCTGTTTCATGTTGGCCCAGGCACTGATATTCTTTGAGTCCTGATTCTGCAATTGGTGGCTATAAGGCCACCTTCTGATAGAACTAGTTCTATATGTTCTGATGTGACACTGAGTAAAAAGCTTACTTTGGTGTCTCTTAAGATTAGCTCAGTACATATTGGAGTCACCACAGGTCAACTCCTTTTAGATGAAAGATACTTGATTGGCATTAAATTCAATTTAGACCTCTGGTGTTTTACTGGCATCAGTCACATATGACAAATATAACAGGAACATATAAATTCAGTTCTGAAATGAAGAGATTTATCAGAACACCTTGTTTCAAATGTTGCACAACATGGTAGTCCATGTGTATGTGGTACGAGATTCCAAAAATAGTCCAGCTCCCTTGGCATTTCTCCCTTATTTAATTGGGGGATACCTCAAATGCAAGGATAAACCATAGTCCCCATATGAAGGAGAGGCAAGTCTTGGTGCAGAGTCATCCGAGGCTAGAGTTAAGAGTCCAAAAATAGTCCAGACCTCTCAGCACTTCTCCATCTTGGAGATGCCTTAGACATCAGAGTTTACCCCAGCTACTTGAAGGAGAGGCAAAGCCTGGAGAAATGGAAAGTGATGTTATATTTTCAGTAGGGAAGACTTTAAATTAGTATGTGTGTGTGTGTGGGGTGGGGGGGTAGTAAGAATTTGCATATAAAATTAGTTCCCATTATTTTCAGTGGTGGTGCAAAATGATTCCCAGGGGTGCCCTCTCAGACCCAACAGTGGTGACAAGCCCTCTTGGTCTGGAATTTTGAAGTTAGTTTCTTGCCTCTTTTCAGAGCATTTCTTCAGACACCCACTTTGTTCAAAGTTGGCATAAAGACTTTTTAACATAGGAGTTTTACATGCACATGAAATGAGTCAAAAAATAGTTCAGCTCTCTCAGTACTCCCCCTTTATGATCATATATCATACTCCAGAGATTAACAACAAAGAGCAGCAAAGATTAAGGAGCTGAGCCTCCTGAGTAAGCTTCTGCCTCTTGCTAGCAGCAAAAAATGAAGATATTAGAATGCCTACTTTAGTGCTCCATACCTGTGGCTGTGCACCACATCTAATCTAGTAAATCATTGAACACCTCAAAGTGGCATAATAGTTAGCAAGCTTGACTTGCTAGATCAATTATGACTGAGTAGTGAAATCTTCATTAAGAGCTCCATACTTGCAGCCTTGTGCCACATCTATGTTTGGCTTAGCAAATTTCTATGAGAGTGTCCACTTTGTTCCAAATATAGCACAATGCCAAGTTTAAAATAAGGGTCCCACATGTACATTTGACTAGTGTCCCAAAATAGTCCAGCCATTGCCCCTTATAGTGGATACCTCAGAATCTGGGTATTAACTTCAACCCCCCCTAAAGTTGGACCCCCTCCTGTAGTTGGATCTACTGCAGCTTTACTTTAAAGAGGATTTATTGTCATTATATTACAACTGCAGAACAAGACCAAAAGAGGAAGTGGGGTGAGGCTGACCTTCACTATTTTAAACCTAGCTAATCAGATTCATGACCCATTCATTCATTAAAAATTCACTTATTCACCCCAAGAACAGATAACCCTTGGGGAAGGAGTTCTTTTTGGAGGTGGTCAGTTGGAGGAGAAAGATGGCAGAGCCCTACCATGAGAAGTGGGGAGGCTCCTTGCTTTACCTTTTTTTGTAGGTATCGTCCTTTCAGACCTTTTCTCTTTTTCTTATTCACCCCTCCCTCACACACACTTTTAATGAAGCAGACCGAGGTGGGAGCATCTCCTCCATCTCAATAAGTGAGCCCAAATTTATCTCATTTTGTTCCTGTTGTTCTTGTTACCACTACTGCAGTTGATCCTGCTTCTGATGCTCCTTCTGTTGTTGCTGCAGCTGCTTTTTGCTCTGTGGTTCATCCTGCCAGGGAAAAGATGGAGTTGAAGCAGCCTTAGATCCCCTCTTAACCACCTCCTTTCCTTCACTATAGCCACTGGGAGGGCTTGTCTTCCCCCACTGCTTCTTTAGATGTACAGTGTAACCTGGATATAAGAGAGTTGTCGGGACCGGAGAAGAAGTCTCTTATATCCAGGTTTGGTCTATTTTATATACATTAACACAGGCTCTAATTTGGGACCAGAGAAAATCTCTCTTATATCCGGGTTACACTGTACTAAGTTGTGGTGCTGAGTTCTGTCTGGGGCATTTTTGCCAATTCTCCAGTGCCACCACATGACCAGCAGTGGGGTCTTCTTCCTTCCATGATGACAAACATCTTTTGCCCTCTGCATGTGTGTCAGGAATGTCCAGGAAACTTTTCTTATCTAAGTTCACCTGGAGACCAAAGTCTTCAGTGACAACATCTGCCTTACTTAGTACCCAAACAACATCTCTGACTTTACCATAGATGGTGAAAAAGGCCCTCACATAGTCCACAGTTATGTCTATAGGCACCCCATGTACTGTAATTTTGGTCTGGTGGGTGCCCATATATTCTGTCTGCAAACAGACTGCTTTGGTAAGCAGGATAGTTCCTGCCAGTTCCTTTGCCCCCTGTTCTGTTGCCAGCAGGGCATCTCACATGGCATTTGACCTTTTTGCCAGAATCTTTGACACAATTTACAAGTATTTCAATGCCTCTTTCAGCGTCAGTTGTATAATTCTGGACGAAACATGGTCAAACGTAGATTTACAATTTTTTAACAAATCTTCAAGAAAAATGGGCTGTTCCAAAAATCTACTCTAGGAATGATTCCAAGACTAAGAAACAAATGTCTGCGGCTGTACTTTAAATATTCGGAGTGAAAAATGAAAAAAAAAAAAAAAAAAGAAAGAAGGAAAAAACGAAAAATAGACTTTTTATTAAAAAAAAAAAAAAAAACTCACGTGGGTAGAAACTTAACAAATGAATCTATTTCCGGTTAGTGCCACTCTTCTGTGTCATGAAAGCATAAAAGTAATGAAATCGCGCCAAGGTAGAAAACGCACGTTTTTGCTATAATTGCTTATTTCATTTTTTTAAGCGATTTTGAAAAAAAAAATTGCTGTTTGTTTGTATTTGAATAATAATAATTCTTCGAATCACTTCAAAGTTTGGTCTCGTCTACAACTTCAAACAAACTTGGATTTTTAAAAAGAAAAAAAGGTATTTTCTTCATCATTTTTCAAGTACAAACAATTTTTTTTCCTGAAGTTAATTTAGCAAATATTTAAAATCTGAGGAAATTTTTAAAAAATTACACATAAAACAGTTTTCTAATAAGGCAATGGCTCCGTATGCGTAAGTCGAGTATAACCGTATAACCAAACTCCACCTACTTGCCGGTTAAATATTTTTCCGCCTCCCTTATGTCAGACTTGCAGGGTGGTGGACGAGAAAGTGGCAACATCCAGATGTGGGTATGTGTGTCAGACTTTCATTGACAGTTTGTTTATTAATCACGACTGACGATAAAATTAGTAGGCCAATCGAGACAATCTGAACACGAGACCAAAATTAAGTGTAAAAAAAGCACTACCTGGCTTGAATTGCCGGGATTTACACTTCTTCTTCGTGAAGCTTGAACAGGAATGTTCGGAGAGGCCACTTGTTCAATAAAAAATAAGCCGTAATTTTAATAATAATAATAAAAAGCTATAAAACTTCAGGACCTCTACGATCATCGTCGAGGTCCTGAAGCTTTTTTTTTTTTTTTTTTTTTCTCTTACAAATTTTATTTTCTGTGAGTTTCCAACTTTCCATAGCAGTAACATATTTCGAAAGATAATGGGGTGGTTTTCCATTGCTTCCTTCACGATTTTGAATTCAGTTACTCCGTCTCCTAAAAAGAGACATGTCTATTCAATTATTGAATTTAGGCACCTATGAATTTAGTTCAGTTAAGAATAAGCCGGCAAACCAACACGTGATTTTTAGCAGCAGCAGCAGTTGTTGTAACAAGTACGACACATAACCACTTTTTACGACATATCGTTCATTAATTTTTCTTGTTTGATGAATGAATATGTTGAGGAGTCGAGTGAAATTTCAGGAATAAAAACTTTAAAACGTAAACCTAATGCTTTCAATACTTTAAAAAGCTGATTTTAGAATTTATCCTGCTAGAGAGAAAAAGGTTCATGCATCTCCTTGGGCTGGTGTTGCAGGATTTGTTTCAATTTTTTTAGTTTTTTACCAATTTCAAAAATAGGTTTTTCTTGCCGATTAAGTTTTTATTTATTTCTTTTTATTAATTGACTTGAATAAAATGAGTCTTTTTTATGAATGCGTCTGTAAAGGTGTAACCCCCCCCCAAAAAAAAAAACCAACAAAACAAGCATTCTGGAGTAGGTGAATACAGTGACTGGTGAAACAAAGTGAATAAAGATGAATTTATTGATGAAAGAGTGAAGTAACAAAGATCGCCAATGTAATTGAATATCATATAAATAAAATGTATAATTCGTGGGGAAAATAAAGACGGAATTAAAATAACGAGCAAATTTGTTATTTAAATCAGATTAATTTAAAAAATAAAATAAATATACGATGCCTTTGCCGACACTGCAAAAAAAAAAAAAACAACAACTTGTCCATCATGTGCAAGGTTTGTTTTAAAATCAACTTTTTAAAGTTGAAAGGATTCGGTTTACGATTTAAAGTTTTAATTCCCGAAATTCCACCCGGCTTCTCAACACGCTCATTGATAAAAAAAAAATTACTGAACGATATGTCGTAAAAAGCGGTTTTTATGTGTCGTACTTCTTGTTACAACTGCTTCTGCTAAAAATCACGTTCGTTTGCCGGCTTGTTCTTCTTAAACTGGACTAAATTCATACGTGCCATGTGCTGTCTCTCTTCAGGGCGTGGGTAACCATAGCTCTCTCCAGCTTCCTCTCCCTTGTGTCCCTTAGCAGCGTTTTTCTCTTGACCACGTCACCTCGTCAGTTAGTCCGCCCCCTCTCCCGCCTAGCTAAACGCTACAAAGGATAGAAAGTTGTGAACAGTCCATGTGCTTTGTTGGCTGGATCTTCAGAATATGTCGACAGAACCTCTGCAGAAGGGGTAAGACCCCTCCCCCCAAATGAGGCGTCCTGGTTAAGATGATAAACTACATCCGACAGCAAGGCCTCTGATCAGGAGGTTTTGAGGAGCGTGGAACCACCTCTTAATTGCTGATGTTCCCAGGTTCATCCTGACCTATTAGGATCCCAGCTGTGGGCAAATAGTTAACCCCAAACTGGGGTCAAAACACTATGAAAGTGTAAAAATAAGTTTTATTACCAGCAATATATTTTAGAAAAAAAAATATTACCAACAATATAGTTTTGAAAAAAATATTACCAGTACTAAAGGTCTTGTTGGCATTAAATAACCCATTGAGGTTGATATACCCCAAAACAAACTGAGAGTCCATGATCGACCATGTCCTCAAAGGACATGTCACACTTGATAGAAGAATAACATTTCAGTCTATGCACTTTGTGATCTTTGATCGTCCAAATCTTATTATGTTCTGGAATTTTGAACAGAATCCTTATCTTCAACACTGTTTTTCTGTCAAAAAATATTGAACTCTTCAAAGTACTAATTTCACTGTGTCAATAGTTTGACAAGTAATATTACATAGTTTCCAATTTAGGCCTTTTTTATTATCATTCATTGTTGGGATTTCAAGTCCGACTGTTATGGGAAAAGGAAGGTAGAAAAGCTATAATAGCAGCTATTAGCATTTGAAGCGAAACTTAGTGCAGAAAGAAAATGATAATGAATTCTTACTTGTAACAGGCATAATCTCAGTGGCAATTGTTTGTGTCAATTTGCAACAAAAAAAACAAACACTATGTTGCCTCCAAGTAATTCTTGTTGTAGAAGTAATGATAGAAAATAAAGATTTAGAACTCGTATTAACAGTTTCAGTAACATGTCCAGTCAGTTTTAAAAGAGAGAGCAAGGTTGTAATGAAGGAAGAAAAATACAGCCTTTGGCTATTTTAGCATTTTTTTTTTTATATCTCTTTTTGAACACATGCAAATTTAACTCCCCTTCAGTTTAATGGGGGTCGACTGGAACTAGTTTCTCTTTCATTATACTTTTGTCACAAGATAACAATTGAATTCCCTCATTTCTCCCTTTCCCTAAGAGTTTTGCTAAGGTAAGTGCACAAAGTGTCTACATCATGCAAATAAAGCAAGAAGAAAGAACTGTTAATTGTAAGAAGACAGAATACATGGTTGTCAGCAAAAGGGACAACCTAAAAAGTGAGCTACATAATGGAGATGTCAAAATCAAGCAGGTACAGAAATTTAACCCCCTGGGTATGGTTGCAACAGACAATAGAAAATGGGACAAAAATTGGGAAGCACATAGGAATAGGTAAAAAAGATGTCTTCCAAATTTAAAATCTGAAATGTTTATCCATTTAAAATATTGCATTAGCATGTGCTTTATGCCCTGTCGTTACCTTAGATAAATAATGGACCATTTTGACTGCTAGGAAGAAAAAGATATATCAGAGATGCTGTTTGGTTTTAGCAAGAAAAAGAAAACATATATAAGAATAAGGGAAGATAGAAGTGATAATGCTCTCATGAATTTGATATCTGCTTCAGTGAAATGAAACCATTTTGAGATTCAAACCTTTTCATTTGTACCCTCTTACTTTAAATAATGACCAGTATTGATACTTATGATTGTTATTACAATATATAAGTGGTTAAGCTCAAATATTTAACGATGCAATAAGGAAATTTCCACAGGTATTTTATGGTAGTGGGACTTACAAGGAGCTTATTCAATTGTTAACTTAAGAAAAATTAGAAAGAAATAGGCAGTTATAACACTCATACATTTAATGTCTACTTCAGTGAAATGGAAAACCAATTTTGAATCCTCATTTGTACCCTCTTATTTCTTTAAATAATGAACTGCAATCATACTTAAGATTATTATTGCAGTATTTAGATAAAGTTAAGCTGAAATATTTAATAATACAATGAGTGAGTTTCCACAGATAAGTTATTCTCATGGAAATTGCAAGGAGCTTATTCAATCATTAACTTAAGAGTTATGATTCATCAGAAAATTCAAATAGGAAAATCATGAAATTTTCACAAGTGCTAGTATGTAAAATAAGTGGTGTAGTCTGAACTTAAAAATTGACAAACTTCTCTTCTCAACAATAGTCCTTACTATTGAAATAATTTACTAAATAATTACATTGGGGTCAACAAGGTAGACCTGTGTTCATTTTACACTGGGGTCAAAAGGGTAGATATAAAGTACTCGAGTGAAAAGGGTAGACAGGGCTGTGTTACCTGGGAGCCACTGGGACATGGGGCCTGTTTTACCTGGAAAGAAAGGTGGTAGACATGTGCCCGTTTTACACTAGAGCAAAAAAAAAAATAAATAAAATTTGGTTTATATAAAAGTTTTTACATATCTGCTTGGAAGGTGGACTTATGCAGGTGTTATATTTAGAATATTCTAAGCTCTGGGCAATACTGTATGTGTGGCAACATTTAGAAGCAATTTTAGCAGTATATCTGAACAATCCTTTTTCTTTCTTTTTGTCATAGAAATGCAGTGGTATTTCTTTCTTTTTGTCATAGAAATGCAGTGGTATTTCTTTCTTTTTGTCATAGAAATGCAGTGGTATTTCTTTCTTTTTGTCATAGAAATGCAGTGGTATTTCTTTCTTTTTTTAGAAATGCAATTTTTTCTTTTTGAAATAGAAAGTGGTATTTCTTTTTTTTTGTCATAGAAATGCAGTGGTATTTCTTTCTTTTTGTCATAGAAATGCAGTGGTATTTCTTTCTTTTTTGTCAAAGAAATGCAGTGGTATTTCTTTTTTTTTTGTCATAGAAATGCAGTGGTATTTCTTTTTTTTTTGTCATAGAAATGCAGTGGTATTTTTTTGTCATAGAAATGCAGTTTTTTTTTTGTCATAGAAATGCAGTGGTATTTCTTTTTTTTTGTCATAGAAATGCAGTGGTATTTCTTTTTTTTTTGTCATAGAAATGCAGTGGTATTTCTTTTTTTTTGTCATAGAAATGCAGTGGTATTTCTTTCTTTTTGTCATAGAAATGCAGTGGTATATTATTTTTATCATGTGTTTTTTTTTGTTTTTTTTTTTCCATCCTAAGTTTATCTATGACTTGAAAATTCTATTTTGATTTATTTTTTTTTTTTATTTTTTTACAAGAGGCTTCCAAGCTCAACATTGTTTAGGACTTTACAAAGTTTAATTCTTGCACTTAATAGTGGACATTTAATATTTCTTAGTATTATTATTAAAAAAAAAAGGGGGTGGATGACGTAATAGCTTCATATCTTTCATTAGAATATTACTAATGAGGCTCCTTGTTTCAAATATCTGAGACTAAAGCTCACTCCAGACTGCATTTTGGATTTTGTATATTTGTACTATTGCTAAAAATTCTGGAAGAATGGTTGGTTTCTTGTATCACTCCACAAAGTACTAGACTCCTCCTGCCATGCCCAATCTTTATAAAATTCAGATCTGACCAGAAATGGAATATTGCTGCCATATCTGGACTGGTACAGGCCAGTCATAACTGTTCAGTCTCAAGAGAGTTCAAAAGCAATTATGCAACCTTGTGGGTGATGAGTTATTTCCCCACCTGCAACACCTTTCCCACAGATGAAACATTGCTAACCTCTCACTTCTCTATTGCTATTTCCATGACAAATGTTTAAACGAACTACATTTCTTAGTTCCATCAGTTCAGACCTTCACTAGGGCCCATCATGCCACTTACATGGAATCAAATCCCTTTTTTTTTTTTATTTTTTATTTTTTTGGTAAGGAGTATGTTCCACACTGAGCTTCTTTCTGAGAGCTGCTGCTTTGTGGGACTGACTCCCAAGAGGATGTTTCTTGACCCCTACAGTGTTAATCTCTTTAAGTCTAGTGTTAACTGTTACCTCTCCTACATATCCTCATAATCTACACCTTTTCCTTCTTACACACTGACAACAATCTTGTTCAATAACCCTCTACCTTTATTGACTTTTAAGTCTTGTAGTGGCTGAACAATACTAAAAAGAAAAATTATAAATTGAATAGGCTGGACTAGAATTTGAACTTAGCTTGACAATTCTATTTTCAGTGCTGATAGCCATTATTCCATCCATACATCCACATTTAGGTTATGGCAAGTGCAGAGCCAGATTATCCTTTATGCTAGTATAGGCTGCAGCTTAGGGCCCCTCAAGCTTTTAAACTAATGATTTTAACTTTCTAACTTCTAAATAGTTTTGTGTATAAGTGGTAGGATAATTATTTTATCAGAAATTTTAGGAATAAAAACAAACTGACTGAAGGGTTAAAATAAATGTATTTTTATTTTTTTTACAGTGAAGAGTGAGTCCTTTGGTATTCAGTGTAGCAAAAAGTTCATTAATAAGGTGGATATTGATAGCTGTCTTGACAAATGTCAGTTTGTGGTTATTTTGAAATCAGACCAAAATAGGGGTAGTAGTAATGTGAGAAAATAGGTCAGTGTCAATCTACTGTGTTTTTCTTGGCCCTGAACAGGGCAGAAATGTCAGTAGCTAATGATATCTTAAATGCTTCTTCAAGCATCAAGCATGGCTGTGTTCTTTTGTTCCATCCTTCTGCCACTAGCCATAGATGTCGGTCTATATCCTTTTCAATAGGTTCAGTGTTTGTGGTGGAGCTTTGCTTTCGGCTAACATGAAAAAAGTCACTTTGTGTCAATTTTTTTGATTGGCCAAATTATTTTATTTTCTGGCATTCTTTTTTAATTTTTTTTTTTATAATAGAAGTTATGTCTGATTTTCAGTATTTTTCAGTTACAAATAAGTAAGCTCTGTTGCTGCAAACTTCCATTGCTTTTTGCCATGTTCAGGCTTTTTTCTTTTTCCTCTTCATATTTGAGAGAAGTATAGAAAAAGATGTAAGGGTTTCAAAGAGTGCAAATACCTTATTTTAATTTGAATTCTTTTTATTTTTGTTTATATATTTTATTTTTATTGGTACTCACTAGTTTCATGAACTGAAATGATATCAATATGACAAACTCATATTTATTTGACTTTGCAGGAAGCAAAGCAAGGAAAAGAATGTTTTAGTTTGTGTCCTTGTGTTTCAAGTAGAGAACATGTTTGTTTTTAGTTCATAATGTTTAAATCTTTATAAAGCAATGATTTTAATTTTCTAAATGTTATAACTTCTAAATAGTTTCATAAACTGAAATGATATCAATATGACAAACTCATATATTTTGGTTGTTTCATTGTTACAATGCTGGTTATAAAAATAGTTGTGTTGAAATGTGCTAATTTGGTTTGCAATAAATAGTAAAATAGTGATATTTCTTAAACAATATTTTTATTGATAAACAAAAGATAGCTATTATACTTTGTTTAAAGAATTTGCAATAAGTTTACTTCAAGCTATGTAAATGTCTCTAAAATAAATTGTGAGTAAAAAAAAAAAAAAAAAAAAAAAAAAAACTCAAGATTGGTGTGGGCAAGTTAGAGGGTGGCTCTGTCTGAGGTGATGCAGTACCATTTTTACCTATGGATTTACATATGCAGCCCAAGTACTCCAAGACTAGAGGGTCCCTTTAGTCTCAGGACCCTGATAAAAATACAAACAGTGATTTGTTTATTTTCAGGTTTAATAGGGCTCCTTTGAACTAATTGAAATAATTTAGAGCTTTTATTAAGAACTTTCTGTCTGAATAGGTGAATATAGCAATATTCATGAGATAAATTATAACCAAAATGGATCTTTTAAGGTTTTTTTCTTGTTTTATTATTATTATATTGCTCTGTAATTTACATTGAGCTCTCTTTGAATTAATGTTCTTGGAATTATCCCCACCATTCATAACTTGGTATTATTTTTATCTATCTATAGCTATCTATCTATATATAGACAAGGTGGAGGAACATTCATAATGAAGGGCCTCCAAATTCTATTAGCCCAGGTCGCTTTTAAGGCCTAAATTAGGCTCTGGGAATGCTCCATAATTTCATTAGCTTAGGGGTCCCAAAAGGTCATTACCTGCCCCTGGGTAAGTGTATATTATGTCGATCAGAAGTGTCTTGTGTTCTTAACTTTGTGAATAACATCTGCTTGTTTGACTAAATGGTTAACCAATATTACTCTGGGTCTTTAAACTGTATTTGTTGGACTCAACTCCTGTTGGTGTCATTGTACAAGAATTCTTTTAAATGTTTTTTTTTTTTTTTTTTTTTTTTTTCCCTTAGTAAAAATGCCAGTTAAAAGTAAGAAGATCTTGACATTGGTACTCATTCAAGAAGCAAGGCGTGTTCTTCTTGGTATGAAGAAACGCGGATTTGGCAAGGGAAATTGGAATGGATTTGGAGGCAAAGTGAAAACTGGAGAGGAGACGATTGAGGAAGGTGCCAAAAGGTAAAAGAACAGATTTCATTTTCAGGGACTCCTTGGAACTCTCACTGGCTCAAGTCTCATAGACTCCACCCAGGACTAGGGGGGGGGGGAATGGCAATGTCTCTTAACACAATAGGTGTTTCTTCTGTGGTTTCCATACAAGTGTCATAATATACTTAAGGATAAAGAAATTTTTTATAATCAGTTTCTTATGTAAAAAAATGGGGTGGGGATCATACTATACACAGGTAATTTTTTTGAAATAGTTAAAAATTATGCATTTTTGGTGGCTGGTTGTACTATACACAGGTGAATGTTTTCTGGAGGGGTTAAAATTCATGTAAAAAAATTCAGGGGTCACACTATAAATGAAGTTTGCTTATACACAAGTATAGACAGTAGTTTTTTTTTTTTGGGATGAAGTTGTTAGCCTCATGCTCAACTAGTTTGGAATTCAGGATGGTTGTTTTCTTAGATTGGTTACCGACCAAAGCTGAAATGCCCAGTCTACTCTACTATATAACCCATAGCTAGGAGGAAAAGATGGATGCTTGCCTTTCTCCATAGTATTTGCACAAAAGTTAATGCAACAAAGTTGACTGGGTTTTGAACTTTGCTTGAGTTCATTTTAATCTGCATGTGTGGCAAGCCTCCAGCTGCTAATTAGAATTTATTGTTGGGTTAGGGTTACAGAGTGCAAGAGACACCTGAAGAAGACTAGCGTTTACAGTGACTAAAATGATGATTTTTCTAAGCTTAGCTTAGATGTGGCACTATGTCGAAACTAAGGGGAACCCAGTGAGGATCAAACTTACTACTCAGTTGTAAATGATCTAGTGAGACAAGAGGGGGCAATAAAAAAGAGAAAATAGAGGAAAGTTCATCAGAACACTTTATAAAAAGGCACAGAGAAGCTACGTTAAAATGGTGGGGATGGCACTGAAGCCAAGATGCCAGGTTAGGACCAATAACATTGCAGATTCTTTTTGGGATTTTATCAGGAATCTCTAATTATATAGCAGGAGCACCAGACTAGATGTGGCAGCAATATTCAAAGCAAGGATGAATGGTATTTAATCATGAAAATATATTCTGAATTTCTACGAGGTTCTGGAATTTTAAAAAATTCTATTATAATAAAATGACTCAGTCTTCAACACAGTAAATTTTCCAATGAAATTTTGAACATCAAAGATATCTTTCAAATTTTTTACCAAATAATAAATCCTGCATTAAGTGAGACAAATGATTATCAAATATCGAGTTTGTTGAATATTCTATGTAAGGAAGTATTTCCCACCCCAGTCTCATAATTATTTGGGGAAGGGCGACAGTCAACATGAGGTCGATTGTTGTCATGTAACACCATATCCTCACCCCACTGGACCCATGCACTTCACCAGACCGGCCGTTGGTCTGGTATGGTCCAGTATTACAGGTTAGACACAAGTCTCCAGTTCCCAATGTCAATTTGAAGCCAGCCTCCAGTCACGTGATTTTTTTTTTTTTGATCCTGGAGAATGGTCATCGGATCATAGAAATCCAGAAGCTCTCTATTGGTCCACCTGCAAGTTCGTCAGGTGAGAATCGGGTTAACAGAAAAATAAATAACCAAGTTGATTTGATTTTGAAAGGACTAAAGTTGTTTTTTGTTTTATTTATCTATCTATCTATATATATATATATATATATATATATATATATATAAAAGCAAACACAAAAAAAATAATTCTTGTTGCACAAGGTTGAATGTTTCTCGTATGTGAACACTAACTAAACAAACACAAATACCTTGAGTAATTTTTGTAAGGAGAGACATGGCCGTTGTTTTAATTCTTTTTGGTCTGTTCTCAGCATGATTACTACAACCTTCGATGTTCCCATTCTCAGTAGTAGTAATAGTAGTAGCAGGAATAGCGGTACTCAGATGTTAGCGGAAGTATTTTGCTTCCTCACCCTCAGCTCGGCAACACATAGCGAACGCTTTCTTTTCAATTTCTGACATCACCACTCTGTTTGACTGCATTCAAAGACAGATGAACCCGAAACCCTCCTATATTCTGGTTGGCTCACCTATATAGAGAACTGGTGATGTCTCTGTTTTTCTTGTGCGACTGTACTGATATACTTTCAAAGTACAATTTCACTCCTCCGAGAGTAAACAATTTACTTTTTCATCGATTGGTTTCCAAGGTCTGCAACAAGACTATTGTTTAACACCTCGCTATCAACCACTGCTGTTTTTTGTAAATGATAATAAATTCAAAATGAAAACATTCTTTATTTTAATTTTGAGTCTTATAGTGTCAAAATCCATTTTTTTTTCTAAAAGTTCTAAATTATCATTGTTCCAGCAATTTTCTATTAGCAATCTGATATCCTTTGTACATTTACAAAAAGATTGTATTTCATGTTCTAAATTAACTTTCTGTAACATTTCAAAGTCTGTACAGGAAGTAGCTTAAAATTCCATATGTTGGGCAGTATTCCTATTTTTTGTTTCCCCATCATAGGCATTATTATATCCGTGATATAGTAACACCTTGAAACACTGACAGAAGAGAATATCTGAGATTTTCAAATAATGTGTGATTTATTAAATACATTTTTTTGTGTTGTTTTTATATATATTTTTTTTTATATATATTTTTTTTATTTGTGTTTTTTATTTTTTTTTTTTTTTCCTTTTTAGAGAAGTTCAGGAAGAATGTGGCCTTATTGTATCAGAACTTGACAAAGTTGGCATTCTCAAATTTGAATTTCTTGGAAATCCAGAATTATTAGAAGTTCATGTATTTTCAAGTAGTTCTTATGAAGGAATCCCCAAAGAGAGTGAAGGTAAGCAAAAGAAAATTTACCCATCTCTCTGTTTTGTCCTTTAAACTCTTTAGCTAGCTTTGTCTGGCATGAAGCAAGGAAGTGTGGGGAGTTTATCCCCTGACATAGATGATTGATAAGATACATAATACTATCAGCAGCTGACTGGCACCTTTTTAAAAACCCAAAGAAAACATTGGGTGGTATATCTACCTACTTGGTAGGTACATTTACTACTTCAGTAGTGAGGACCTTTTTTTCCTAAAAATTAAAAACTGAAATCCTGCCTTATCCAGACCTGATTGCAAGCACTAGTTGGAAATACTCTTACCTAGTAGGCAGAACTTTTGCATATCTCTCTTACTTTATTGCCAACCTGAAAAATGAGGAGTAGAAAAATAGTCCACTTTTTTCTTTTTTAATCAATTCACTCACAACAAGGCAACAAACAAACACGTAAGACCCCCAACAAACACGTAAGACCCCCAACACACACTTAAGACCCGACGAAAAGTAAAAGAGAAGACTTTAGAAGGAACTGGAAATCCAATAATAGTACAAATTTCAGAGTTTTAGCCAACCATTCCAATAAATAAATATAAGTTATTTTTGTCATCAGTTCTCAAGAACAATGAAAATGTATATATTCACTTTCATGTGTTTGGGTTTTTATTCAAATTCTAATCATCACTTTTTAAAACAATAAACATTGCTGAAGAGTGAAGGTAGTTAGAATAAAAAACAGTGCTATCGGAAAACATCCTTTTTGACACTTTCTTATTGTGGCCATGTTTTCCCATGAAATTTAATCAGTGCCATAAAATCTAACATATTTAAAAAAGAGGAAATTGGACAGAGAAAATCCAGCTACCATTAAAGGTAGTTTGAAAAAGGAAAAAATATTTTTAGAAAGAACTGACTGGTTTTTGTTTCTCTAAAATACAATGCAATGTCTAAAAGAAAGAGTAGAGTTAATAAGGGTAAGAAATGCTTGTATTGTATATCAAAAATATAACTTATTCTTTTAATCAATTTGACCCAAGCAAGGCTATAATGCTACTAAGATGCACGGTGCTACTGGAATTGAAAGAGAAGGAAAAGACTTTAGAAGGAACTAGAAACCCAATCCTAAACAGCAAACAAAAGATAAACCTCTACTCTTGTTCAAAAAACAAGGGAGAAGACTTACCAGAGAATTGAAAATATAGTCCTTGTGTTTGTTTGTTTGTTTTTTTTTTTTTTTTTTTTTTAAAGTAAAATCAGATGTGATTCTATAGTCACCCATGTACCAGACAGATGTGTTTTTATTTCGGTGTCAAGTGTTTTATCAACAGTAGGTGGTTCTTTTTTTAATCTAGTTTTCCAAATGGCATCCACTGTGACAGAAAGGTATAATGCTTCTTGCCAGTTGGTCCTGGGTCAATTCCCAAGCTGGTCAATACTTCCGCTGGTCATTGAATGTTGACTGCTTTAGTCTGTGTCCTATTCTGCCTATGTTGTGCTTTTTGATCATGGAACTGGTATGTGGTTTAGCTTCTGGTCATTAATTCTAATCATCATTTTAATTTTTGTCAGTAAATTTTTCCCAGCCTAAGGTCTTGCTTATATGATCAGAAATTTACCAGCTGTTTCCTCCGACCCGCCAGTGGAAAATATTTACCTATATATCTCTTTTGCTCAGTTGCACTTATGAACCTTATAAGTCTGTTTCCTAGATTAATTTCTTCAACCAAGGTATAAAATTCTATTTCTCGCATTGTTTTTGACAGGCAAAAATAAATCGGTTCCTTTAACTTTTGCCTTCATCTCTGAAAATTCCCAAATATTATTTTTTCAATTGACTTCCTTTCCAGAGAACTTTTTGTAACCTGTACTTTAGCAGTGGCCCATAAATTAATTTCTCTGTTTCTGCCTTGTCCTAGCAAAATTCTCAGCCAATTCCTAATGTCCTTCTATCATCTCTCCCTAATCCTTGTTCGTATAATTTTTTTTGTAATATCTGCTCCAAACAATAAAACTATTTTCTTCAAGTTTCTTTTGGTTTGTGTCATTTGTATCTTTTAACTCTTTTCATTTTGTTTCAAGTTATATTTTAATTTCAACCCTTTTTCATTCCAAGTTTATATCATAACTTAATCCTTTCTTTTCCATTTACTAGTGCCTCAAAGGGAACAGGAGCATAAAGGAGTGGATGAGGGGTTTTTGGAGATCAAATAATAACAAAACCAGAAATAGGGTGTATCAAAGTGCTGGTCTATATTAAGAGTCATGCTTGAGATCAGAGGGTCAGTTCTGGTTCACCCTTGGTGGGATGCTGTCCATTCATATTGCCAGCCTCATGTCATGATGTGTAGATGAGTGAAGAGTTGGTAGTGGGGGGTGGGGGGAGAGAGTTGACATAGCAGAAATTATCCCAAGTGTTACCTACCTACCCAGATGAGTTATTTCTTGATGTGGTGCTTGCCATCCATCTTTATTGCCTTGTTTTTTTTTTTTTTTAGATAGAAAATTGAAAATAAATTTTAAATATTATTTGTGTTTTCACTCCTGACTGGATATGTAGCATGTGCCTCACCTTAGATCATGTAGAATAGACTTTGTACTCGGTGTCTGTCAGAGAAGCCAGGTGCAAGGTTGACTGGAAATGACCTCTCAGCTGCACATGGGTTGAAAGTATGGGAAAGGATCATATTGCAGGAGATGTATAAACAACCACTCTCAAGAGAGGTAACCAGAGAGTCTCTCAAGCACATTTCAGACAAGGCACTTGGGAATGCTCATGTCCACACCAAAAGTAATTGATAAAATCAGGAGATGTACAAAACGAAATGTTAAATATGAGAGATTAAGTTTTGTATTATCATTTAGTCTACACCTCTATTTCATTACAGATAGACCAATGTCAATTTTCTTTTTTTTCTTTTAATCATTTCACCCCATGCATGGCAACAAAGCCACTAACACATAGGGGGTTAATGAGTGTGAAAGAATATAAGAAAAACATTATTAAGGAGTGAGAACAGTAATCCTGAATTTTCTTCATGGTTTATGACCTGGGCTGTATTATCTTTTAGGCTATTATAGGTTGCAAGCTTTTATAAAGCAATGATTTTAATTTTCTAGATGTTATAACTTCTAAATAGTTTCATATACTAAAATGATATCAATATGACAAACTCATATGTATTTGACTTTGCAGGAAGCAAAGCAAAGAAAAGAATGTTTTAGTTTGTGTCCTTGTGTTTCAAGTAGAGAACATGTTTGTTTTTAGTTCAGAATATTTAAATCTTAAAAATGTTTTATAAAGCAATGATTTTAATTTTCGAAAACTTCTAAATAGTTTCATAAACTGAAATGATATCAATATGATAAAATCATATTTATTTTCATTGTTTTATTGTTATAATCCTGTTTATAAAAAATCTGTTTTTTACTATGCTTGTGTTGAAATGTGCTATTTTGGTTTGCAATAAATAGTAAAATAGTGTTATTAAAGAATATTTTTATTGGCAAACAAAAGATAGCTATTTTAGTTTATTTAAAGAATTTGCAATAAGTTTAATTCAAGCTATGTAAATGTTGCTATCATGAGTAAAAAAAAATATTCAAGATGAGTGCAGGCAAGTTAGAGGGTGGCTCTGTCTGGTGTCAGGGAGCATAATTTTATTAGGCTTGGGATCCCACAAGATCATAATCCGACCCTGGTCATGACAGTTAACCTCTAGCACTCTGCATTATTCATATATTATTATTTCCATTTCCACTGTATATGGCAAACCCTAAACTGCAATACCTGAGTTCTTTTAGTCAGTCATTTTCTTATTGCCATAGCAGGACAAGACAAGACAACTGAAATTAAAATACATTATTGTTTAGTATATATCTGAAGTGACAGAAGAAACTTTTGGCTCTGTAAATAAAGTTACAGTGTGTTAAAAGTTAAAGATGATCCTAATCTAATTGTTACATGATGTCCTCAAATCCGGGGATTTTGGTGGAATTTTTCAAGGATTTTTATTCAATGATTAAGCTGGGAACCTTGATTTGCCCTTTTTTTTTTTATAGCAAGTGCATGTGTATATCTTCTTCTATACTCCTATATATGTTTCTTTTGCAGAGATGCAGCCTCGATGGTTCAACATACAACGGATTCCTTATGATCGTATGTGGCCTGATGATCGGTTTTGGTTTCCACTTTATTTGAAAGGATCTCGTTTCACAGGATATTTTGTTTTTGAAGGTCTCAATAAAATTATTTCCCAGAATTTGAGAGAAGTTGAACATTTACCTGAAGAAGTTCATAGTAATAACTCAAAATAAAGAATAAAAATAACTTAAATTTAAAACTTATAAGCTTGTATTGTTTCTTTTTTTTTTTTGTTTTCGTTTTCGTTTTGTTTACACTTAGCTCTAGGGTTAATGGTTGGTTCATTTCCGAGTAATCTAGTCTACTAGGTTGGCTAACTAATCCCTGTTGAAAATGCCTGCTCAGGCACATTTCTGTTTCAACACCCACAGAGCCAACCAATTGTTGATACTGCAATTATACTGAGCAAACTTTAGTTACATTTTCTGGAAGCGTGCATCATCAGGTATTGTCACCAGTTTAAACACATCCGATGCACTCAAACCATCGATCACGATGACATATGACTTTGTGCTAGCACAGCCATTGACATATCTGTATAGTTCTGTCTATCCAATTTTTCTCACTAGGCTGCATCCAAGTTGGGTGCAGTTTTCAGGTACTTCTAAATATATCCCCAGGCTGGTGTCATCAAGAAGTCACCTCACTGACAAATCGGTCATTGGGTGATTTGGACTCCGGTCTTGTGGTCAGAAAATTAATGTTTTATCCAATAGGCCATGCGCCCTTGAGTTACAGGATTATGTTCCAAGTCATTGGTTCTGATGTAAGTCAAATATTTCTGGTGGTGGTGGTAGTAATAGTAGTGACCTTTACTCTCAGGTTTTTGAATAAAAGGGGGAAGTGGAATAAACAGGTCAGTTGGAAATTCTTTTGAAAGACTAATAAATGAGAAGTTGCAAAAATCTGAGTGGGTGGATTAATCTCGAATTTTGTTAATTTGAATGACAGAATTGTATGTGAACATACAGCAAAATATTGATGGCGGAATTTGACTTGTGATCAAGTAAAATCACCCCCCCCGCCCCAGACTTCCAAATGAACATTTCAGAGATAATTTCCATGTTGTTGAAATAATATTTGGAAAAGTCCAAGAGGTTCCTGTGTGTTAATATTTATTTATTTTTAAGTGGATAAAACATTGCACAACACTAAACTCACTTGGGAACAGTGCTCCAAACTGTTTGTTACTGTTGAGCTCTGCCTTGAGCAGAGGAACCTGGACAAAGCTTTGCCAAAGGGCAACGTTTCATCTGGGAAGGTAGACAGACTCTGACCCTGTTTATGCGGGTTCTAAGGGAATATTTTTGGCTGAGCCTACAGGCTCGGAGAACCCATGGTAAACTCAGCCTTGTGCCACATACATCCCTTGTGGGGGGGGGGGAGCTGTTAAATTTTAACACTAAATTCACTTTTCAGCACAATTGGTTGGGACACTAGTGGCACAACAAAGGTTAAGACAACCAGAGACCAAGCGAGCTTCAGATTTTATATACAAGTTTACCTCTCTTAGATGGATGTTCTCCAAAAACTGGGATCCTTCACTCCAAATAGTGACCTAAAAAGGACTAGGGGGTTCCTCACATCTAGTGGTCTAACTGCACGCATAGACATCAACCCAGGTATTTCTATGTCCCTGTGCAACTGCACTTTGAGTTCTTTTTTTGTGCTGTGGGATGGCATACAATCCTCCTCACGAAAGAAAAGTTGGTGGGGGATCCAGTTTAGATGTAAATTATTTAAAGAGTTAAAAACTTTTTTTTCTTATATATAAACATTATGCTGCAAAAATATTAACTTTCCAGCAAATGTCTTTCTGGTGGTGGTGTCTTTTTTTTTTTTTTTTTCAATCATTTGCAGAATCTAGTTTCCCACCATGAACGACATATTAGGTCAGTGTTTCTCAACCTGTTTTTACTTTAGCTGCACTTGTAGAATAGCTAAAATTCTGGGCGCACACTTTACATCTTAATTAGGAAAAATTCATGAAATTTGACAAATAAAACTTTTGGTGTATCATTCCCAAAGAAGATTAAGGATATATTTTTCATTTAAAGGGATTTAACTAACACTAACACTAAAACACACACACACACACACACACACACACGATTTATCTCCCTTGAGGAAGGCAAAAAGGAAAGGAATATCCACTCATTAATGATTTTAGTATTAAATTTTTAAATATCACATGGCAAAGGCTTGATTTAGACATGGGCTTAGTGTTTAACTTAAAAATAATTATTCAATGTTTTTAACATAAAAATAATTAATAATTGCTCTTCTGTTAACTTGTGGGTACCTGTCAGGGTGCATTAGTATGCCCGGCTGCACTGGTTGAAAAATGCTGCATTAGATATATGCAGTCATCCATTAATAAACTTGCCTAACTCCAGGTAGGTCTTGCTACTTGTCAACCCAAAAGTACCTCCTCATATTGAGTTCTGTTAGTATATGGTTTGCGAGATTGTATCAATTGGCGGCTTTCTAGGACTGTCACCTTACACCTGGTATATGCAATCATCTGTTAATGCAGATATTATTTTTCTATTTTCTTTATAATATACTATTGGGACTTAATAAAAGGGTGGTGTAGAATAAGTGATGGTGTTGAAATTTTGGCACAGATGAAGAGAGGAATATGGTTCTACAGAAAGACACTCACACAGAACATGTGAGCAATGAGAAAATTTTATGGAAAATGGAAGCAAAAAGGACATATACTTAGAATAATAAAGACAGTTAAAATTTCTAGAGCACAATGAGAAAAGAGGGCTTAGAAAATTTGACACTCACAGAGCATTGAAGACAAGAAGTACAGAGAAAAGCATAACCTATCTAATGAGCTTGTGTAAATGGTTGGCAGAACAGGGATTAGGAAAGGAAAGAAAAAGACAAAATTTATTAAGAGCTACAAAGGACAGGAAGCTATGAAGAGCCATGATCACCAACGTTCTGAAAAGACATGACACATAGAAGAAAGAGCTTGTGTAAATGGTTGGCAGAACAGGGATTAGGAGAGGAAAGAAAAAGACAAAATTTATTAAGAGCTACAAAGGACAGGAAGCTATGAAGAGCCATGATCACCAACGTTCTGAAAAGACATGACACATAGAAGAAAGAGCTTGTGTAAATGGTTGGCAGAACAGGGATTCAGCCAAAGGACAGGTTCTGAAAATGATCACAACGTTCTGAAAAGACATGACACATAGAAGAAAGAGCTTGTGTAAATGGTTGGCAGAACAGGGATTAGGAGAGGAAAGAAAAAGACAAAATTTATTAAGAGCTACAAAGGACAGGAAGCTATGAAGAGCCATGACCACCAACGTTCTGAAAAGACATGACACAGAAGAAAGAGCTTGTGTAAATGGTTGGCAGAACAGGGATTAGGAGATATAGCCAGAAAGAAACATTACAAAGGACAGAAAAAGAAATGATAGGGAGCCATGATCACCCATGTCCTGAATGGACTCGGCACATAGAATAATAATAATAATAAGGTAATATAAGGATGGAAAAATCAAGGAGTGAGTAGGATTAGTGTAGAATTTAGTTTATTTAAGTGAGGGAATGGCATTTAAACATACAGCAAACAATTTTCTTCTCTATGAGAATTTTTTACCTTTTCTAATGTCGGCTTATGGCCATATCATGTTGAAACACCAATTCTCATACAATCACTGAAGTAAAGCAACATTGATGCAATATTCTTTTGCAAAAAAAAAAAACAAAAAAAATTCTAATTCAAAATATATTTTAGTTTTAAATAACCAACAAAGGGTTAAGAAGCTATAAAACAAATCAACCTCAAATCACATTTGTCAGAACTGAAAAATATTGATTGTTTTTTTATTTTTTATTTAGAAGGAGGTTCTTGATCATAATATGAAAATAGTGAAAAATTGATCCTTGATTTTTTACAGTATTTGAACTAACTAATTTATAAATGTCAAGTTTAAAATTGTTCTTGAAAACCATTGATATATAATTTTTTTTTTAATTTTACAAATTTTTAAAACTTTTTTTTTTTTTTTTTAACAAAAATCTGTACAGACATTGTGGAATAATAATTATTCAATGTGATGAATAAACGGTCATATACGTTTAGCAATTTTTTCAAATTTTTGTTCTTTAATTATAAAGAAATATTGGGTTGGTGCATAATTATCAGGCGTTTTTAAACAATATTTATTATGAAAAACGAAAAAAACAGTTCAACAATAACATTAAATGTGTATGATTATCGACACGCATTTTTATAACCTGAAAAATGAAAATAAAATAATATTTTTATTACAAAAAAAGTAAACAAAACAGCAATTTTTATTAACAAATAACTCGCCTAGGAAAACGCTTGATAATTATGCACCAACCCAATATGTTTTTTTTTTTAAAAATATTTTTGTTTAAAAAAGTCTCTTTTTGTATGCAGAACAGTTAAGTCCAAATAACTCTGTAAATAGTCACAGATCCATTTGACGTTGTTTCGATAAGGCTAGGACACCAATATAATTTAAAAAAATGATAATAAAAAAAATCAATATTTTTTTTTTATTCTGACAAATGTTGCTCTTCGAAGAAGATCTCTAAAAAATGAATGCTAATCTACAGAAATTATTTCCAAAACATTTTCCCTAATTTTTTACAAGTGGACCAGCCGACTTAGATAGTGCCGCCTTTTCTTCACAGATCGTCTGCCACTTATAGTTGTATTCAAATTGGGAGTAAAAAGAACGAACTGCTTTGTCAAGATGTCCTTGTTTTGGTATGTAAGGAAATGTCTTTTTTTTTTTGTTTAAAATGTGTTTTCTTTTTAATCTTTCCTCCCTGTTCATATTCAGTTTTAAATTTCTTCGCATCAACTGCAAAGGCTTGCTTTTTTTTTTCAATAGAATATTATTGTTGATAAACCATCATCCATTGATTCCAATGTTCTTTTCGCAGGCATATCTTTATTTTTAATTTAAATAAAACAACGAAGACGGCATGTTACACTTTGTAATTAAAATTTGAAAGAAATTTTAGAAGTAAAAATGAATTTGAATGAAGTTTTTGAAGTGAATGAATTTTAATTTAATTTGAA